TTAGAATAAGTAAATTGGATTCAAAAAGAAAGGATAAATTTACCCGATGCTCCCACCTTTCCTACGCATTTCTTCTTCTCTTCTCGTCTTTCCTTTTCCTTTCTCTCGCCCCCCACCTCTTCTCACCATTCACATATCCTATATAATTAGAAGTGTGGTATTGTTAATGCAAGTGGTATTTGAACGAAGATGGATGTGATCATACGATATTTTATCCACATGATGAAATCGTAAAACGTACCTACATGAGTGATCAAAGGCAGATAATTTTTTAATATTCTCCATTCTCACTGACCATGTCTCACAGCCACATAGTAAGATCGAGCGAATTGAGTCTATATGGACGCGGATTTTCGTCTTTATGGTGATTTTACTTGATCATTTGAAACTAGAGCGGATCAAAGATATTCATCTGGCATTTCCTTAACCGGTAATGAATTGATAAAAATAGGTCTTTTATCAGCATCCTGTGTATAACACATAAATATTTTTGTTTTATTTTCATTGATTCTAAATCCGATTCTTGCTGCCGTTGTCGATTTATTGTTTAATATTTATTTGCATTGCTGTAATAACTGTCAGCTTTGTCCTGCTATAAATCTATAAAGCAGGAGAGAAAAAAAAATTTTCCTAAAGATATCTAAGAGGTTGATTCCTCGATAACTCATAATATACCCTGCACTTTTCTTAACATTTGGAAGCAGAATTGCTTTGCTCCAGCCATCTGGTAATATTTCCATACCAGCGAGTACATTTGTTGAAGATGTGATCTGAAGGAGGATGGATATTTTAAGAGTTTGGCCGAAAGACCATTTTCATTGGAAATTCTTTATTGGCTTAAAGTTATGGATTACAAAGATGATTTCCTCTTTTATTGGAAATAATCAAACACTTTCAAACGTATGGCTCGACGTGCGAATCAGCTACACCCGAAGATTGCGCATAGTGGTGAAGGTTGGCCTCAAAAAAATTTTCTTTCCATCTTGCGAGGCAATCATTAATAAACTTAACAGGTACCCTATTGATATCCCATATCATTTCATTGTTATAGTTGTAGTCGAATTATAATTGTTTTGTGAATGCGAAACAGTTTCCTATTATCACTTAACTGAGTCGCCTTCTCAATTCTCAAGACTATATCGCTCCAACAGCGATTTCTATCCGTATCATTGTAATTCTTCGAAACACCCAATAGTCAAGATCTCTTGACATGAAGCTTTGGTAGGTTTGGTAGCTTTGGTTTGGTAGGCTTTCCAGGCAGTTGGACAGTTTCCGACACCCCACTGGTGCAATTTCCTATTAGTATGCTCTAGTATTGAAGTGGCTAGTTGTCGCAAGCATGTTTTTAGGTAAGACCAGTATTCGTCCGCTACTGCCGTGTTATTTAAGGTTGATCCGAATTCGCTTCCACCTTCACCATTCGGTGATATTTATTATAAAATTGGTAATATCTTTAATCAAAAATAGCAAAGGACTATTAATAACAAAGGACAACTACCAGATCCAACTATCAGATTTAATTCTAGCAGAACATGAAAGGTCAAGGACGGATTACTTCTTAACATTGACTCTCATTCTTCCATTCTCAGTTGTCATGTTTCTTAGCCAGATAATTAAGAAATACTTCCATTTTTACGGTGGTTTCATGGCGACCCTATAGAGATCTTCCCACCTGCGCTTATCCGCTCAGCAATTTCATCTTCTGTTTATAAAAATAAATTAAAGATATTTAAAGTCAGTTAATTGCTCAACCTGTGATGAACTGATAAAGCGTATTTTTTTACAATGGTTGGTGCACTTTCTAGCTTCTCCTGTATTCTTTCATAACTCAGCAAAAAGGACTACAGGTCATCAATGTGTTCAAGAAGAGAGTATGCCAAAGATATATCTATTTTAGTTATTATAGTATCCTCTGGGACCAAATTGAATATTGTAAAGAGAAAATGAATTTCTTGTGGACACCAGTTCTTATTTCGAAATTATTTGTCAATTCCACACATATAAAAGATCTATGTGGATGTTGGTACGCTAATAAAATACATTAATGAGCTGGACGATCTCTGGAAGACCACCATCCTCCACAATGCTACTCTATCAACTGAATCGAAGGCAGTGGCGAAATCGATGGAAGAAGTACGGGTTGCCGATATTTGGAGAACGGTCTAATACACCAACTGTCACCATAGCAGAATGCTAAAAGTCGTTCATCTATTTGAACGCAAGTTTAATCTGCATTTTAGTAATTTACTTCAAATATGGCTGTGATGGTACCAATTAATCTTAAAATTCCATGAAGGCTGCTCTGCCCCTTTCTTTTCTTTCTATTCTTCTTTCTATCCTTTTTGCTTAATTGAAATTAATTTATTATTAGGGATCAGAAATTATTTTTATTTTTTTTTTAATATTTTCTATATGTTTGCAGTGTTTTTTTCGATTTATCTTATTTAATTAATTTATTTATGAACAAAATTTTTATTTATTAATTTACTTATAAAAAGACTTCATTTATTTATTGAAAATAAAATTTATTTGATTTATTTATTATTATTTATTCATTAATTTTTATTCATATTTTCTGTTTAAAATATTATTTTCTATTTACTTCTTTCTTACTATTTAAAATATTATTTTCTGTTCATATAAATTATAATTTGCAAAAAAATTTAAAATTTTTATAAAAAATTTCTAATAAATCAATCTAAAAGTTTTTAAATTTTTCAATTTTTTTTTTTTATTTATCAATATTTCCTTCTTTATTTCCTTTTATATTTATTTTTTCTCTCTTTTGAAAAGTTATATTTTTAAATCGCAATTTTTTAATGTTTTCTATCTGTTTGTTTGCATTATTAAACAATTTATAGAAATGAAATTTCGATAATTTTTTGGCAATTAATTCATTTTTCATTTTTGCAAATAGCTATTTAGCGATAAATTTGGCGATTATGAGCGAGCGAATTGCTAGGGGTTTACCTTTAAACTTTTTTTTAAATTTTTTAAAATTCTTTTTTTTCTTTAAATTTTAAAATTCCTCTCGCTTATTTATAAAAATTATTTTTATAAATAATTCGTTGATATTCGATTGCGAGAAATAAAATTTGTGGAATAATAAATGAATAAAATTAATTATATGGAAAAATGCAAATAGTTGAAATGAAAAATGGTAGAAATATAATAAAAAATTTCAAATTTTATTTAAATTTTTTCTTTCTTGGATTTTTATTTCTTTTTCGTTATAATTATTAAGCAAAAATTTTGGTTTAATTTGATGTTTAAATTCGTTTTTTTATTTTATTATTATTATTTTATTATTATTTTATTATTATTAGTATTTTTAATTATGCAACAGCCTATGGAATTAATTTGATAATTGAACTGATAAAATGGCTGAGCGACCATCAATAATTGGATTAAATCGTTCAAAATTGAAAATTGTATTTCCTGTAAACGAAGATATCGAAGTTTCTCCTCAGTTGTATGTTTTTCTATAATTTTTGACTATTTTTTTTATTTTGCAATACAATTGTTGTTGCAGCTTTTCAAAAATTTTTAAAATTAAAATTATATTAAATTATTATTTTAAAGTTATAAATAAAGTTATAAAGTTAAAAATAAAAATAAAAATTCTTAGATTCATTTTCGAAGATTATCGCTTAAAAATAGAGCAAATAATAAAGTCTGTTTTCTTTAGTGAAGCTAGCAAAAGATGGCTAAGCAGAATCGACTAACTGCCTACGGCGATGATTGAGGCATTTCCAGTCCTTTTGATAGCATAGTTGAAAACAATTACTACAACAACAAAACAACAGAATCTATTCACTTTTCACTATTTAATCTTTGCCGAACTATAATTGTGATATTAAACTCGCTCTCACAACTCCATATTCAGGGCACATTTACAGTCACAGTTACAGTTTTTCTCCCGTACCATCTTGCACATCTTCGAAGCTCGATAGTTAAGGTTTTCTAATGTGCGGGTGCGGGCGCTGGTGGCTTTCGTGAACAGTTGGACAATTTCTTCTTACATCCAAAAAATTTATTTCTAGTAGCATTATTTCTAGCATTGCTTTGGTAGTTTTTTCAGAGCCTTCGATTAAGGTGAAAAAATTTATCGGCCATTTCAAATGTATCTTAGATTTTTATATGACGGAGATAATTCTGATGTTCCTATTTGCTTTCGATTCACTTTCGAATCTTTTGTCTTGAGATGCTTAAAAGATTTCGACTGCTTTCTGGACGCTCTTACGCGGATCATAACTTTCGTAAATTGAACTGAGCCTTGAAAGGTTGCCTGTTGCGACGTCACGAAGTTCTTCCAGCGACGATGGGCTATGCTATATTATTGTGCGGAAATTCCTTGCAGGTAGATGCATTTTGCCATGCTGATTATTGATTATAGATTATTGATGAAAGCTCATGCTTCTCATTAAATCAAATATGGCATTTTACACTTTGGTATACTGGACCGCAGTGCCATTTTTCCAGTCATAGAGCGTGTTCTATGTGCACATTCCAGTTTCCTTTAATTAGCATTTTCACCTTTCAAGAAGGATTCTGGTATTAGATGAAGTTTTGCGTAGAAATATTATTATAACAGGTATCTGCACACAATATAGAAACATACTAATGACTGAGGCGTTACATAATTTCTGCTTAAAGTGAACGAGGATATGTGATCATCAATAGGCCTCCACCTTTCTGATCGAGCTCACACTCAAAAATACTTTTTTCATCGAATCAAAAAAAACTATCACCTGATAGTTATCGCTGATTCCCAGTTTTCTCAATGGTTTTGTCGTTTCAAGTTCCAGACACCAAAGTTTCGCAGCTCGTACTAACAGTTATCCAACTTCCTCAATAGATTTTGAGCTATTACCCTTTCCTTTATTTTTTCTATGCCTCATTCTCGGTTCATATATTCATCAGCAGTTTAAAGTGCCTGTTGCCAGAGCCACTATTTGAAAATCCTTTGAAAATTCTTCCGCCGCCCCAGTTACTTATAAATGTGTCAGATGTCTCCAGTTCTCTGGGTTTTGTTTTTCAAAATAATCAGTATTCAGTAGTAATCAGTAATCAGTCAAAAAAAAAAAAAATTAGACCAGATTTTATAATAGTAGCATAGATTATAAAATTTAAGAATAGTGGCAATTCACTAGGTAAGTTCATTCCTTGTTTCTCTTTTGAGCCAAGTAGCCAGAATCAAGTAAAATTTTTTTTATACATTTGGTGCAATATTTATTTTATTACTTTGAGTTTAAATTAATATATGATATTATTTTAAATTAAGATAAATTAAGATATGATATTGTGATATAATATTATTTTAGAGCATACCTCCGATCACAGTCTTCTGGAAGATTAAAATTTTCTCCAGATTCAATTTATGATTTCACTAGTGCAGATTTGATTGATGAAGGTGAAATTGGTAGAGGTAATTTCGGTTCGGTTAATCGTATGTTGCATATAAAATCCAATAAAATTTTAGCTGTGAAGGTAAATTTTTAATATTTCTTTTTTTTTATAATCTTTTGTTTTAGATTTTTTTATTTATGAAAGCAATTAAGATTTATTAATTTAATATATTTTGGAAATTTCGAATTTAATATATTTTGGAAATTTCAGCGAATTCGTTCCAATACGGTTAATCGAATTGAGCAAAAACGGCTTCTTATGGAATTGGAAGCAATAATGAATAGTCGTTTTGAGAATATCGTACAATTTTACGGAGCGATTTTCAGAGAAGTTGGTATTAAAAAAGGCGCAGACGCACCATTTTCATTAATTTCATCATTTAAATCTTTTTTTTTTTTTTAAACTAAAAACATATAAACGTTTAATAATAGATGAATTTATGTCGGAGATATACTAAATTAAATTTTTATATTTTCTTAAGGGCGATTGTTGGATTTGTATGGAGCTAATGGATTTATGCTTAGAAAAGCTTTACAAGATCGTTTATGAAAAACAGAATCGAATATTGCCAGAAAATATTATAGGATATGTTGCTGTTTCGGTTCGAGTTTTTCCTTTCGCATTATGCTTCAACCGGAATGATTACAATTTTCGTATTATTTTACATTTTTCTTTCTTTTTCAAATAATTATAACTTCCTAATTTCCAGACTGTAAATGCGCTTGATTATTTGAAAGAGCATTTGAAAATTATTCATAGAGGTATTTTATTTTTTTCATTATATTTGTTTTAGATTTTTTCATTTACATTTACATTTAAATGGAAGAGCGAAATTTTTATGGGTTTTTTTATAACCTTATCATTATATTAAGATGTGAAGCCATCGAATATATTGCTTAGTCGGAAAGGTTTTATTAAATTATGTGATTTTGGTATAGCGGGTCATTTGATTGATTCGATCGCAAAGTCTCAAGATGCTGGCTGTCGTCCATATATGGCTGTTAGATTTTAAATTTCATCTATTTTCTTCATTTCTGCAAAAAAAACGTCATTATTTTTTTAAATTATAAAAATACTTTAGCCGGAACGATTACAGTCTAACGATCCGTACGATGTGCGATCTGATGTTTGGTCACTCGGCATTACTTTGGTGGGCTCGTTAATTTTTATTTGCAAGAAAATTGAATAACTATAGTATATATTCTCTAAAAATTTAATTTCCGCTGCTTCATTTTTGATTTTTTTAATGTTTTAGTTTGAAATATCAACTGGTAGGTTTCCTTATGTTGCTTGGGATTCGCCGTTCCAACAATTACAAGAAGTAGTTAACGGTGAGCCACCAATTATGCCACCTGGCTTATATTCAGCTCAGCTAGTTACTTTTGTAAATCATTGGTTAGTTCATTTATTTATTCAATTTTTTCCAATGTATTTTGTATTTTTTTCTTTTCGGTTTGATAATGACAATAAAGGATAGAATGGCTCAATGGGTTGTTGCTCAATTCGGAATGCCGATATGGAGGTTCAATTGCCTGCAGTAATAAACCTGTTCAAAAATCCGGGTAATGCTGGCGATTCACCTGTACTTTTATCGCCAAGGAGTTCCCTGGCATATTTGTCCAATCCAATGCTGTAAGTCAGCAGAACGAGTCTATTCAATAATGGTGAGGACTCTTAAAAAAAAAAAAGATAATGGTAATAAATAATAACACGACATCATAAAGTATATAATTTTTTTAAAGAAATTTGATAATGTTTTAAGAATTCTTCGTATTATTTTTATAAATTGTAAATTTTTTAAATTGCAGTTTAATAAAGGGGAAAGAGGAACGACCAAAATATAGAGATTTAAAATCAATGGAATTTTTTAAAAATTATTTTGCTACGAATGAAGAGGAAAGTGTTTGCGCGAAAATGGTTATAGGAATGTTTGTTCAAGAAGCATTGAATTCTGATTGTTCTTCAAGCCGTTTTGCATTTACAAATGATTCTTCTGTGCATTGCAATGATAATAGTTTATCTGTTGATTATCATTCAGATATTGATCGCGATCAAACTCCTCGCCATAGTTGGGTTGAATTTTCATGACATCTTTTTCATTTTAAGAATTCCTTGTAAATTTTTAAATATTCTTACTTGTACTGAAACTAGATTTTTATAATTTTCTTTTTTTTAAATTAAAATTTATTTGATCAAATTATAATATTAATACAATTAATTCGAATTTTAATTGAAAGGATGTAGTTTTTAGTATGAAAAATTTAATGAACTAAAAAAAAAATCGAAAAGATAATTCAATATTTGGAAATTTAGCGAAGAAAGACAAATATGAACGAATGCAAAAGATTATAAAATCAATGCTGAAACACTTTTTCGTTCATACAACAAATTGACTTATTTCAAAGATAATTTTTCATCTGAAAAACTCGTTATCAGTTAATTAAAACATTTGATTAAAAACGCAGTCATTAATGGAACTTTTAGTTGGTTTTTATTTTGTTTTTTATGTTCATTATTTTTTTTTTAGTAAATATTAAATATTGCTTGTAAATCCATTTATTTACGTTATATTTTGTAGAAATTTGGTTAAAAAATTTAGTAATTTTGCAAATTTATAAATATTTATTATTTCATATTATTTATTATATATTAAATTTTGTGAATTCTATTAAATAATTTTGATTTATTTATTTGTGAAAATTCATTTTCTAAAGAATTTTTTGAAATTTGAAATTTTCGTTTATAAATTATTTATTTTTAGATTTGTATTTGTTTTCAAATTATTTTCGAAATTTTTTTTGCCAGAAAATTTTTTTCATTTTTTCATAAACAAAGAAAAAAAAATTTATTCGAAATAAATACATTAATTAGATCTGAAAATAAAAAAAAAATTTACGCTTATTTTCATGATTAATAATTCATCTGTCATTTTGAGATTTGAGAATATTTATTATTTGTTTCGTTAGGCAAATTGTGGTTCAGTGAGAAATGCGTCTTATTTTTTGTTTTATTATTTGTTAGAATTTGTGATAAAAGAGATTTTTAAAATATTTTTTAGAGAACAGCTGCCCAAGGCGATTTGAAATTTGAAAATCTATCCACATTTATTTGCGAGTGAGGAAGAATCTGTTGGATGAATAGGTGAATAAATTAGATGAGTGGCAACTAGAGAGCGTTAGTGTGCTATTAATTCCATTTTTCAGTCCTAAAACGAAAATAGGCTTACGGTAACATACCTTGTTTGGTTACATCATCTTCTGAAGGAATTGATGGAAACGATTGCCAGTATTCTCTTCAAATTTTATGGTGCGGGGGTGGGGGGGGGGCAGATGGTGTATGACTGCTTAGTCTATTCTATTGGTTGAATTCTATTTGAGACATTGAAGTACACTCGAATCAGGTTCGTTATTATCATTATTTTTCAAATTTAGTTTAAAATCGACCGGCGTATCTATAAATTATTTCTTTTGACACTAAAATATAAACAATAAATAAACATTAAACACATTTTTTTATATATTGAATGAATTTTCTATTTATTTTTCAATTCATTAACAAATGGCGAAAAGAGAATTGTTATTTTTTTTCGGATGTTATTAATGCTGGTTTCAACCAATTTATTTGCTTTTATACTTCCATTTTTTCTTCAGTCCGTTCATTTTATTTTTCCTTATATATTTGCTGAATAAAAACTGAGAAGGCATTTATTCTCTCTTATCGTTAAGCTACCGTTTCGTTTCAGATTTTTACTCGTTTTTCTTTTCGTAATTCAATTATTTCTAAAGTTTTCGAAGTAATTTTTATTTTCATTTGGTTTAATTTTTGAATAATATCGTTAATTTAATTCGTTTATAATTTAGAATAATAAATACTGCATTATTGCTTGTTTGAAAGATTTATCGATGCTTCACGATAAAGGGATAAATTGCAAAATTATCGATGAAGGGAGATAAAGGGTTACGCATGGTGGAAAGCGTTAGCTGATAGTCAGTTTATTGAAGAAATAACTTTTTTGGGAAGAAAGGAAGTAGAGAGAAAATAATAAATGAAAGAGCATGGAAATATATGAGGCCTTCAGCCTTCTTGCTTTGGACTAAACTGGGTTGAAAAGTATCGAAGATCCTTCAAAATTTCTTTCGCATTTGGTACTTTCTTGAGTTTATTGTATATATGGCGATTTTTTAAATTTGTCTAACCTAATTCGAATCAACGAATTATATAAGGCGAATGATCGTATGGACGGACGAATCGAATTGCCAGCAGTTCTTCTCTGCGATTTACCAAGAACTATGGTGCATCACAATGAAAGAGAATTTTAGCTGATCGAGTTATCAGTATCAGTCTGGTTTTCACCAGCGATATACCGGTTTCGCATTAGTTTACTCGATCAATCAAGCAACGCAAAAGTTCAAGTAACAATCAAGTTTACCTTTCTTTAAATTAATTTTTAAATGAATAAATTTTTTTTGTTATTTCATGATTTAATTTTCTGTTTATTTCCTTGATGATTTTCTTATTTATCGTTTTTTATTTTACTTTTTTTGTTATTCTTGTATTTGTTATTCTTTATGTATTTTATTGCATGTTTTTGAGTTCTTTCTTTCTTAATATGTTTCAGGGCAAATTCTCTCTTTATTCTTTATTCTTTTTCTAACAGCTCTCACCTTGGTTAGACTGGTTATGCTGACTAAGACGGTTCCAGGTTGTTCTCCGATGCCTTCTTTGATAGTAATAGAAGCCATTCCTTATTTCGTTTTCTGAGTACATATATTGCTGGTCCACCCATATGTTCCAAATCTTTGCTAGCTGTATGGATCCAAGTCTTAATTGGCTTTGCTTTTGGTCATCTATCATAGGGTTAAGCAAGTAATTTTTTTCAACTCTTGTGGTATAAAGAAGAAAGTGCCCTAATCAACGAAGGCGACGCTCTGTGATTGATACAGTTAGCATTCGATGAAGGTGGATGAAATCATGTAACATTTTATCTGTTGGGCGAACAAGTATCCTTAATATTCTCCACTCTCGTTGGCTATGTCTCGCAACCATATAATAAGATTGAGCGAATCGCAGACTTTCGTTTTTGTTTTGCGATGAAAAAGGTTTCGCCTGCATTTCTGATTACCGTTGTCCAGGTTGTAATTTCTTGACTGTAATTTTTCCCTGTGGACGCTTACGATTAGAGTGGATCAACGTATTCAGAATCTGGCACTTTCTCATCTGGAGATGAAATTCTCTCTACTGGGAAACATAAATGGCACATTAATATGTAGGGTTAAAAATGAATTATTGCATTTTATTATAATTTTGCTTATTTTACTTTTACTTTTATTGGGGCTGAAGATAATTCATAAGATCGAAATATATTCTAATAATTAATAGTACTGATAAAAAAGTTTTGAGGAGTTCTGTTGCATAGATTATCTTGCTTAATTTAAGTTCATTTCCTCAGATTGTGTTGTTTTCAGTTTCATATGGGATAGCCCAATTCATTTCCTCTGAGAATTATACTAAAATAGTTGGGGGGAATGCCATCTATATAAATAAAATCAAATTATTTCCTATAAGTTTTATGTACATCATTAATAAAGTCGAGATAATCATCACCTAGAATGGAAGTGTGAGTTCAAATCCAATCGATGCACCACTTTTCGTCAAGCATAATATCGCGTGACGAAGAAAGCAAAGCAGTAAAATAGCTCATTAAGTTGTTGCCGAACTCGGGACGTTGAAGCTAAAGTTCTACTTTCGACAAATTGAACTTGTCCAAAAACTTAGGTGTTGCTGACGATTTACTTATTTGTCACCTAGGGTCTTCTGGCATATTTATATAGCAGAGCAAGTCTAACGAGCAGTGATGTGCTCTTAAAAAAATGTGAATTAAGTCTTTATGGATTTAAAATGTGAATTTTAAGCTTTGGTAGATAGTGAAGAAAGATTCTGGGCTGAAGTGGTGTGAAAAGTTTTTTTACATCCTCAGTTAAATTGATTAAATCTGAAAATAAAATTGTTCATATATTTTCTCTTTTAATAATTTAATAATTTGTCATCTGCGATATTCGGATTCTACTCCAAGCAGGAATAAACTTGAATTCTTTCAAAAATCCTGATAATACAGGCGATTTACCTTCTATCGCCAGGTAGCTCTCTGGCGAAATTTGTTTAGGTTTAAATTTGAACGAGCCAACAGAGCGAACCAAGCTATGAATGGTGAGCACTCTCAGAAAAAATATTAATAATTCCATTAATCTTGATAGCGACAGTTTCGAAGAAAATTATTCAAAATTTTAATTTTTTAAAAAATTTGATGAACTTTTTCTCTGAAAAAAATTCAGAAAAATCTTCCTATCTTGTTGGGATTTTACAATTTATTTCTCAGTTCTTGCTTTGCTTGTTGTAATAATAATGGTCATTTCGTTATGCGTTGTGCTATAAGTTTCTCAGGTATAATTGGGTATATTTATTATAGATTATGGATGGAAGTGGTGATATGAAGTTTACAATATGTGAGGATGAAACCACTGCAACAACCGCGAAAAGTCGACAACGCCTATTATCTCTTTCTGTTCCACGTGCGTTTTAAATTTAATTTAAATTAATTTCAAGAGATTTCAAGAGAATTTGAGAAAAATTAATTGGATTTTGCACGAAGTATGGTTGGAAGTGCATAGTTATGATTGATTTCAAGTGGAATTAGTGGAAATATTATATCTTTTAACTAGGATGTCTTTTTTTGGTTTTCTCTATAAAGAGTATGAATACAGGTTAAATCAGATATTACCAAATTTATTAATTGCTGGTTTATTATATCCTTTCTAGCTTCTCCATGGTTTGGTCTCGATATCGGAGGAACGTTAGCCAAGTTGGTATATTTTGAACCACAGGATGATGTTTGTATTTTTTATAAATTTTTTTCTTTTTAAGAAATCAAGTAGTATTTAAAAATTTTGAATTTAATAAGGAATTCATAAGTGCTAATAACATTTTTCTATAATAATATTAATAATAATAATATTAAACGGTTTTTCTTAATAAATTTTTATGTGGAATGTGCAGCGTCTTCATCAGATGATTAGATGACTATGACTAAAAATGTTATTATTTGATATGCTACGGAAATCTATTGAAATCATTATAATAATGAAAATAAGGGAAATTTATAAATGATCATTTGATATGCTACGGATATGATATTCTACGAAAATCTATTGAAATCATTATAATAATGAAAACAGGGGAAATTTATAAATGATCATGGAAAATATTTAGGAATTGTTTGATGAAACGGATGAAGAGTTCATACGTAATAAAAGAATACAACGCTATTTGTTTTCAAAAAAAGCTTATGCTAATTCTGGATTTCGTGATGAGCAATTGCAGCTGAAGGATGTCGAAATCAATGTTAGCCTATGGTTATTCAGTGATTATTTCAGCTTTCAACTGATTTAATTCGTGATTTCAAATGGCTTTAATTTGACATTATGTAGTTTTATGCAGTTGCTTAGAAAATTTTCACTAAATAATAAATGAATCTCTGAACAATTAAGGTTTTTTATTCTTTTTATAATTCTTCATACTATATCGCAGAGTCGCATTGGAACTCTACATTTCATTCGTTTCCCAACTGATCGTATGGTCGATTTCATAGGCTTGGTAAAAGATAAAGGTTTTGCGCGGTTGATTAGTACAATTTGCGCTACTGGTGGAGGTGCGGTGAAATATGCCGAACATGCTGAAAAAGTGGGTACCATTTTATTACTAAAAAGTGGGTATCAGTATTTTTCATGAGGAAAAAATTTCGATCGCTTATTGATTTCTAAACATTGTAGATTTTGGGAATGCAATTTCATAAGGCTGATGAGTTGGATTCGCTAATTAAGGGAATAGAATTTATAGCTGCAAATAATCCCAATGAATGTTATTACTATGAAAATCCATTAAATGATCAAACATGTAAAAAAGTTATATGGTTTGTATTTTCACTTTTATTTTTTTTTGCATTTTTTTTTTGTTAAAATTAATATATATTTTTGATGATCCATAAAATTTGTCTATTTAAGCAATAAAACAAGTTTTATAAAAAGAGCCAAAATATCATGAAACCGGCATATGCCCTTTGATATCCTCGCTATATTCATTAACTCTTTTTCGAATCTCATGTTGTGCTTTCAAACTGGCCACTATATTCTTGTCTAATCCGTGCTATATTATTTTTGGGCTTTAAATTGTGGGAATGTTAAAAGAGCTAAAACCGTAAAGTCAGACTATGACAAAATGATAACGAGACTTTGAGCATATTATAAGAGCATTAAAAAAACAAAAGGTTTTTGCGAAATGCAAAAGATTTTGTAGAGTTTCAAAGGTCTTCAATGTGAAGTTTTAGGACCACAGCTATTTTTTTTCTGGACAAGCAATTTTATTAATTTTATTTTATTGACCAAAAAAGTATATTTTGTAAACTAAAAAAGATTTGGACAAATGGAATTGCTTGATATTTTATTTGATGCTAGGGAAGCACATTGAGATTTAAAGAGATGTTAGAGAATATTTCCTTTTCTTCCAACTGCTCTCATCCCCTTACTCGTTTAAATGGCTTCGCAGATTACTGTACATAACCTCTCAATTTTATGCTGTATCTGAAGTAAGCTCTTTTTCAATCGTCTAAGTTCATATATCACCTTCTATGATCTTATTTATCCAGATCTTAATTAGGCTTCCATGTTTTTGATACCATCAGTCATAAGATTTCTTTAGAGAGTGTTTAGCGTCCTGATCTGAAGAAAGCCTAAGGAAATGGGACAAGAGTCAGGCAGATCTATATACGTGCGGCGAGATCTTGGTCATTGCTGCGTGGGACATCCGATTACTTGTGAATATAGGAATTCAGTCTGTAACCACCCACACTTTATCTAGTTAAGGTGGAACAGGTTTCGAAGAATTTTTTAAAGATATAAGTTTTGAATGATATTCTCCTAGATATTTCAAGTTCAATTTAAAGGAGACTAGAGATTTTAACAAAATTAGAATTTTGGAAGGAATAGATGTTTTTTTCCATGCACATTTTAACTTATCCGATTATTATTATAGCTTTTTTAATATTTTTATCTACGCTTTTTTTCTTATACATTTAAACTAACTTCCATGTTAAATTAATCTTTTTTTAATACGAAATTATTTTGACATTAGGCGATGGTCTAGCGGTCGATCATCGACATCAAATTTACTTAATGACGAAAAAAAGGATGGTCTTCAGTATCCCTATATAGTATGTAATATTGGAAGTGGTGTTTCAGTTCTTACAGTACGTGGTCATAATAATTTTGAACGTATTACTGGAAGCAGGTTATTTAATTTTTATACTTTTTTTGGAAAATTTGAAATCTGAGAAATTATTTTTGATCAAAAAAAATTTTCTTTTTTCATACTTTCAAATTTTTTTGTATTTTATATAAAATATTTATTAAATATTTAAATATTTTTTAAATATTTAAAATATTTATTTTTTACATCAATTTATAGCATGTATTTGCAGTATCGGGGGTGGGTTTTTCCAAGGATTATGTGCTATAATGTGTGGTTGTGATTCGTTCGAAGAATCAATCGAATTGGCTTCTCACGGTGATAATAAAAATGTCGATAAACTTGTTAGAGACATTTATGGGTCTGATTACGCACAGGTTGGATTGTCGGGTGATGTTGTCGCGGCAAGGTCATATTTTTTGTACTATGCACTTATCGACTAAATCAGAAATTACGTATTAAAGAATTGAAAGTCCCATTTTTGAAATTGTCGAATTATTAATATGGCATTTCTGAATGAAAACAATAATTTGAAAGTTATTTATAAAAGTAAATATAAAAAAAAATGAACTTTTCAAAATAAACTAAACTTTTTTCTTTATGGTTGCTTTTTTTTCTCGAATTCTTATCAATTTTCCAAGGGTTTTATAGTTTTGGTAAAATTGGTTCTTCTAAAAATCGTGACAAGGTAGCTCGAGCAGATTTAGCCCGATCAGCTTTGGTCACTACTGCCAACAATATTGGGTCTATCGCTTTTTACGCAGCAAAATCGTGTAATATTGATCGAATTGTTTTTGTAGGTGAGTTTTATTTTGCTGGATAATTCCTGAAATTACCAGTTATTTATCGTTTGCGAATTTTTCCATAGAAATTATATATATATATATATGCTTAGTTTAGGTAATTTTTTACGTGTTAATCCAATAGCTGCACGATTGTTGAGCTACGCAATGACATTTTGGTCAAAGGGCACCAAGAAAGCAATTTTTCTTATGCATGAAGTTCGCTTTCATTTTGTTAACTCTGTTCTCCAAGCATTGGTTTGGCTTTTTAAATATAAAATATTTAAATTTTAAAGTATTCATTGAATTGTAATTATTTTATGATTTATAGGGTTACCTTGGCGCTGTGGGCTGTTTACATAAATTAGTTGACGTGACCAATATGAGAAGGCAAGTACGGGCAATGAATGGAGATTTGACTCTAAAAGATTCTTTATAAAAATATTGTTTGTAAAAAAATTCTTGGCTCCCTATAAGAAAAGACAAAAATTAGATGGAAAGACAAAAATTTATGAATGAATTTAGATATTTGGCAAAGAATTTAATATGATCTCTTTGATCTAAATTCCTTCCTTATTAATTAACAATAATTTTTGAGCTATGATTCTTTCAAATGGAATAAATTTTCGAGAATTTTTACGGTCATTCGAAAAACATTGAACTTTATTTTTTGCTTAATACTGCAATCTATTTTCGGCAATCAACCGTAAAGTTCATTTGCTCAATATTTTTAATTTGTCTTCCATCGAAAATTTTTATTCTTATATGTCATTCCACTTTACACTTTTTTAAAAACCTTTTGAAAGCTAATTATTGCCTTATTTTTTCCTTTGAATTTTCCGTTTTTGTATACATTTTGTTTACTAGTCAGTGCTTAAATGTTTAAAAAATTATTCTATATTCTAAAAGATGCCTGGAAATATTCAATAAAATGAGATTGTGATAGAAAATTCTTTTGGAATTTTCTCAAGTGCTGAATTCCATTGTGATAAAAAAGCCTTAAAATTCTGTTTCGTCTACAACTGGTTGTTATGCCTAATTTTACCTAAAAAACAAATCAGATGTCTTTTAATAAATTTGTAAATATTCTAAAAATTTGGACTTATATTTTTTAAAAAAATTATTTGTTATTATTTTTTTTGCCTAATTAAAGGGAATTTATCTATTTGATGAAGGCAAACCTACGAGCTCTTGTGATAAAAACTTTTCTATAAGAGCGATAGGAAGTTATGGTAAATTTTCGGGTTTTATTTGCATACTGAATTTATATCATATCGTGAGTTGATAACATACGGTTTATTTAATATTTATTTTCAGTGTTTATTTAATATTACTTTCATCAAAACAGTTCTTGCCAAACTAAATGATATGAAATATCGATGACATGATCGGTGCGGAGCATCTTCTTGTTTTTGTTTGTGCCGTTTTATCGCCCATCGTAGTCTTATTCGTCACGTTGTTATTTGTTTTCTCATCATTGATCAACTTTTTTGGTTTGCGAAAGAAATATGTGCAATCACTTTTAAAAATTTTCAAGGTTTTTTAATCTAAAATTTAAAATTTAAATGCATCTTTACTCAATAATATATTTTTGATCAATTTTCGTTTATTTATGCATATTCATTTATTCGTTTATTTATTCAATTTTTTCTTTTATTTATTTAATTTTTAAAGAAATTGACAATAAAATCTGAACTGAAAACATTTCTTGCAACTAAAAATATAGAAAAATATGAGGTATAATATATTTTGCAGTGGAGTGCTAGGCAGATTCATAGTAGTGAAGGATTGAGACAAGATGGAAGTGAACGCGAATTTAGCGAATCGAACTCAGATTGCGATGAAGAATTGAATTCTGCCAAGTTATCAATGTTTTGTCGAAAACGGCGAGGTTCAGGTAAATAATATAGTTGTTTTCTTTTTTTCTTATATATATGGGAGGTGAAAAATTTGTTGTAATCAAGTTAAGTTATGAGAGACCAAAATTATCCATAAAATTATTTAGCTATAATTTCAACCCATTCGTACGTATTATTTCTTTTGCATTCACTAGCGCTCTTCTATTTTTATTGCATTGTTAATGTATAATATTTCTTATGCATATGCATATAGTTTTGTTTGAATTGTCTGATTATTATAAATGAAAAAAAATTATTAAAAATTATTTAATTTTTTCCTCGAGCCAAAAATAAAACTTCCTCTCTAACCATAAAAAGGCTTGTGGAATTTTGAATTGAATAAGGCTAACTGAAAATTATGGTTAAAATTGGTAATTAAATTTCGTTATTGAATTAAATTAAATTAGATTAGATTAAAATATATATAAAAAGTATATAAAAATCTTTATGTGGAGACGTGCAAACGTGTAAAAAAATATTACAGGAATAATTCAAAGAAGGCGTTCGCTTGATTTATATGAAGAGGGAAATGAAATTAGATTCGTACGCAGCAGAGGATGGGCGACAGTTGATGACAGTTTAGAATTTGTTAAAGTACTAATTTATCATGTTAACTAGTTTTATTAATATTAATTAGCTTTATTTTTATATATGATATTTTTTATTGATTATTTTTTACATTTAAGCATGGCATTGAAGTCATCATACAGGATGATGTTACTAATCGTTTTGAAGCTGAACAACTTGCAACATGGAATATGCTTACAAGAACCAGTATATCATTTTATCAGCATATAAAGTTCGTCCAATAATATTGAGTGCATATAATTATCGCTTAAAAATGATAGTGATCATCTGAGAATTAAAATGACATTCTGAGAAGGATGTCCGTGGATTAAATTCATTACATAAAAAATTCATTTAGGCATTATTCATTTGATTTTATCAAGCTTTTTTGGAATCGATCGAATTAGATTTTTTTCAGTTCTTCAAGTCAAATTTTTCTCCTTACAGCTCGCATCCTTATCGGTTACGCTGACTCCTCTTGGTTATTAAGATGAGGCTTTTTCAAACTGCTGGACTGGATGCTATGCTTGAAAAGATAAAGGAAAGAAAGCACCCCATCTTCCACTATATAGGACCATATATCATTTGGACTGCATATTTTCTCCTGATTTTATCAGTTTAGGTTTTGGCTTTTCATCAATCATCATATGGCTTCACAAGTAGTACGATATGCATCAATCCTGCGATGAGAGAAAACTAATAAGCTTATGCTACGGAGAAACTTTAGTTTAACCAAAACTTCACTTGATTAATTGGTGATGAGTTTATAATAGCATATAAGGAGAAATTTATATTCATACTACGCTGAATCACCAAATTGAAGAGAATTGAAGTTTTATTCTTAATTTAATAAGATTCACACTTGAATCTTGAATTTCCGAAAATGCTCATAATCTCGCCTATTTGAGTACTGTAGAAAAAGAATTCTGACGTCTTAAGAATTCTTAATGATTTTAGAATATGTCACTTTGCTGTTCATGCTGATTTGTGCTGTGCATGTAAAATGCCTTAATGAGTTAGGTGATCTTTTTTGTAACACTGCAGCATTTTTTAAGTGAGTCAAGTTCCTAACCGGAGATGGTAATTCACCAATATTTTAGGCAATATTCTTCGTAGGGTCAACTATGTGCCTCTTTCATCTTGATTAGAGTGCATCTTGCTGTCTCAACGTGAGCAGTATGCAGGCGAAAATTTTCGCAGAGAATTTTCTTGGTAGGTTGATTCCTTGGTACTCATCACAGTACGTCGTATCACTCTTGAGGATTGACCGTAGGTTTGCATTATCTCGCTATCATTTCTTTCTTCCATGCCAGTGAGTCATCATCCATAGTTTGCCATATGCCACCATGGATTTAACTCAAATACTTATCGAGTCAACAAGAGATCAAGAAATAATTATTATTCAGAAGTTTAAGAATGGAAAAAAAATGTCTTACATATGAACTATTCAAATGTGTTCAATCGTCTCCTTCGCAATTCATCTTCTAATAAAATTATCAATAATAATTTAAATATCTAATGAAATAATAAATAGAATGAGATATTTTCTCTTTATGATTTTAGTATTTTATAGTCTTATTTTTTATTTTTTATTATTTTTTATTTTATTTTTATTCTTATTTTTTATAAAACTATGGATAAATGAAGTTTTTCAGTTGGAAAGTAACGCTTTTATGGGGTGCTGGATTTTTATTTCGATATCTAGTACTTTTACCAATTCGGCTTATTTTTTTAACTAGCGGCTTAATTTTTATGGTTGTTAGTACAGCTTTAATTGGTTTTTTGACTGATGGGCCGCTGAAAACTTGGTTGAATAAAAACTGTATGTTATGTTGCTATTTAATTTTATCAGGAAGTGTGACAGCTATAATTACATTTCACAATGAGCAAAATAAACTTGCTGGAAGTGGTAAGCAGTCTCTTTTTTGCCCGCTTTAATTTGTAAAGATTTTTTTCGACACAGACATTTAGATTTTAGATTTTTAGATATTTTATTTTTCGATATTTTAGATTTTGGACCAATAAGGTCAATTCCAGGAATTTGTGTGGCCAATCACACTTCACCAATTGATGTTGCCATTTTGGGCATTGACAATGTTTACGCTTATGTGGGCCAACGGCATGGGGGTCTTTTGGGTTTTTTGCAACATACGTTAAGTCATGCCAGTTCACACGTTTGGTTTGAAAGAGACGAAGAAAGAGACCGATTGTTTGTGGCGGCTAAGTTCATTTTTTATTATATTTTTTGCTATTTGAAAAGATTTATTAATCTTAGATTTATTATTTTTTTTAGGTTGAGAGACCATGTCAACCAACCAGATAAACTACCTATCCTTATCTTCCCTGAGGGTACTTGTATTAACAACACATCTGTTATGATGTTCAAAAAAGGCTCCTTTGAGGTTGTTTATTCAATTATTTAAAACCAAGTTTTAGCTGCTTAATAAGATTTTTTGGTAAAATTATAAAATTTAGGCAACTTCTGTCATCTATCCAATTGCTATAAAATATGATCCACTATTCGGTGACGCATTTTGGAATAGCAGTGAACAAAACTGGCTTGAATATGTATTTCGAACTCTTACTTCTTGGGCTATAATATGCGATGTGTGGTATCTGAAACCAATGCACAAATTGGTTTTTATTTTACTTATATTATTGGTCATCTATTAAAATTTTTTATTCGAATATATTTGTTCGTTTATATCAATTATTCAAAATTTTCCTTTCTTTCCCTTTTCTAATGAACCAAAGATTTCGGATTCATAGATTAAGTAAAAAGTGAAAATTTCAGATATTGAAATTTTAATAGCTGATTTTCATTCTTCAATTGTTTTCAAATTCTTTTCAAATTTTTTATAGGCAAATGAAAATGCGGTTTCATTTGCTAATCGTGTTAAAAAGGAAATCGCTGAATGCAGTGGTTTAGTTGATTTGGAGTGGGACGGAGGTTTAAAGAGAACCAGAGTTCCAGCAAAAATGATCAATGAAAATCAAAAAAAGTAATCTTTGAAATGCTGGAATAAAGGTGGTATATTGTAAGAAATGTTTAAACTAAAGGTGGTGCATTGTAAGATATTTAAACAAAAATTTAAAATATCATATTAGAATCTCCTTAATGTAGTATAAATTATTAAAAAATTTATCGAACTTCGACTATATTCGTCAATGTTGGGCAAGCTCAATTTGCTACGACTAAAGATGTGATGTGTTGTAGAGATTTGTCGAGATCACACTGATTAGTCGATTTCGACACTCCTTGACATACATCATTTGAAGAATTGAGATATTTATCGAAATAAAGATTGGTTTATTTCAATTGAGAGAAAAAATCTCAATTATATAAACGGGTTACGTTATGCGAATCGATGCGAATTGATGTCGTTTCTGAGTTTTTACTTTTCTTCCATATTTAAAAGATAAACTCTCTTTATATTTGAAAAATTAAAATTAATTGGATTGAAATTTTTTCATTTTTATCATTTATTTCACTTTTAAATAATGCAAATAATGTTTGCCAGTTATAATTGTAGATATTTTGGACGATTATTACGATACAAATCGTTATCGGCACGAGATGAAGAGAATCCTCTGGAAAAGAAAGGTTTTTTCTGGTTTTTTTTTCAAATGAATAAATATTGATATAATATAATATTGTTATGATGTATTGATAAAGATGTTGATATAAATAGGAAAAATATAAAGATATGAATAAGAAGATATAAAGATACACTTCGAATGTAGCGAAAGTTTTCTGTTTCAGTTTCCGTAAATCATTATCATTGCAGTATTGAGCGCTGATAACCATGAAGTTACACTGAACAAGGATGAAATCCTGAGGAAAACTAGTATTAGCAGTAATGATTGCGAGAATACTGAAGTATCAGATTATTTAAAAGGGATTGATGTAAAAGAGAATTTGGAAGATCATTCGTTCCTTGATGGAATACACGTTCTGTCTTCAGGAAATGTGCAATAAATCTAATTGATATCTGCAAATAAAGCATTCTATTTGTTTTTTAATATTTAAAGCAGTTTGGTGTTTAGTTAAACGTTCGAAACGTAGCATTAACTTTTTAAAATTGTCACGATGTTCTCGTGTATCATTGGTTTATTTTTAATATTTTAATGAGTACTATTGACCATCTTTGTTTTTGTTGTTGCAATTTTTATTAAAATGTTCGTTTATAATAATACTTTTTATAATATTTCAATTTATAAAAAAATTTTATTAAAAATGATCTTTTTAAATTGATTGTTTCTAAGTTATTTTTTTATTTTTCAATCTCCAAATCTATCGCAGTTGCTTTATTATCTATCATCCAATGTTTTTCAGCATCCTCAAATATTCGATTTTAGTCATGTGGCGCCCAAATTATTTAATTTTTCGCTTTCTTTTTATTCATATGAGGAAGAATTTATTTTTTATGTTTGTATATCTTATTGAAATCGATGATTGTTCATGCTGAATGGTTTAAAAAAGTAATTCTCGTCAAATGAACGGGTCAAGTTTCTATTTGCTATTTCTGTTTCCGGTAGTCAATTGTTATTAATCTCGCCACAATTTAATAACGTCTTTAGATTCTTTAGAAATCGTCTATTGTGAACATGCAGGTCTGTCTGTAACATGCACGTGAATTAAACAATTGTGCTATAGTTGTAATGAATCGCAGTTTGATCTCTTATTGTTTTCCTTTATCTCGGCTCATTTCGAGAAAAATTTCTTTGGTATGTGCATTCGTTTCAGTAATTATGTTTTCAGTAAAAATAAATGAAATAAAAAATAAATTTAAATAAAATTTATAATAAATAATAAATGTTCTTCAGACAAAAATTTGTATTTTTAATTATGATAAATAAAAAATTTCAATAAAAAACTTATATGCATTTTATTAGGAATTGGAATCATTGATATTACTTACCACTAATATAAGAAATTACATACTGCAAGATTCCGTTGTTTAACGCTCGTTATTTTTCATCAATCCCTTTTTATTCACTTTAGCCGACTAAAATGCAGTTGTTCAACGAATTCACTCCCCACTGATTGATTACCTGGTAAATTAGAAATGAAATGATTGCTTGTTCCGGTTGTTCGTTTTTGCAAATATGATCAACAATATGATTTTCGTCCGTCCATACCATTGGTTAATGTTAAAGAAATTTATTAAGACATGATTTGCGAAAAATATAAGCGAAAAATAAAACAAGCAATTTGTCGAGTTCATTTGATGATTTTTATTGGACAGAATTTATACTTATTGTCTGCATGAATTTTCTTCATCGATAAGAAATCGAAATACTGAGCATAACATAAATGAGCAAAAGTTATAAAGCCTAGTGATTAAAGAATGGACAGAAAACACTGAAATGTTTTCAATTCAACGCGAAATAAAACAATAAATATTTTTGTAAATAATAAATCATTTATACAATAAATTATATTTTAACGATTCAACTAAACCCAAAAGATTAAAAATCTAAAAAGATCTTAAAAAAAATAAACAAAAAAACTGTCTGCTGTTCAAGCTTAACCTTGTTTCTTTTTAATATGCCATTTCTTAAAATGAATGAGAATGAGAAATGAAGAAAAATCGACAGGATCAAATGACATAGAATCCATTCCATTTATTGATTCGCAAGTGCTCGTAATTGGCGAAGGATTGTATCCAACAATTTCTTTCTATCTTTTTCGCGGCCCTTCGCGAAAAAACTGGAAGATTTACGTTCGAACTCAATTAATCTGGAATTTTATTTATATTTATATTTTATTTTATTATATTGTTAAAATTTATATTTTATTATATTGAGGCGATTTACATGTTCAAAAAATTTTATATTCAAATGATTTGCATACTACTTTTTGAAAAAAAAATTATCTCGCGCTAATTCATTAATAAAAATAAGGTCACTTTACTTTTCCAGAATCACGATAGCAGTTGATGCCTTAACTCTTGAATATTTACTTGCTTCTTTACCGTAATCTGCCAAATATGTCGACCAGTCCGCTTTCATCACCAAATCTAACAACTGGCGAAGACTTGCAAATGTCATTGATAACGTTCCATCCTACAGAAATGAATAGATAAATAAATGAATAGAAATATATAAAAAATAGTGCAATAATATAATTCACCATAGTTGAAAATAACCGATAGAAGTGTTTTAAGTTTTTAGGGAAAAAGTGCATTCTTTCAAAATACCTCAAGACCTGCTACAGGACATTGTGAAGTGAAAAGTTCGCACTGAATTACATCGAGGTCGAATTGATCCAAGGCACCTGTTGATACAGCTTTTAAATCTGGTGATAATAACATATCAGTTAAACGATTCGCCACATATTTACAAACCTGCCAAAAATGCGAATAATGTTAAAAACCTGAATAACTACAAATAATAAATAATAAAATATAAATAACAAATAATAACAGAAGATTTGTGCTGTTCTATTTCTTTTTAGCTTTGTTAGCTTTTGATATCCCGTATTTTATATTGGTATTACTAATTTCCTTTTAATTCGAACTTCATATGTTGTTACGTACGGCGCTTGTCGTCCTGCTTGGTTATTTTCAAATAAATAGATAAATATGCAAAATATATTATATTATATTCAAAAAATTGTTAAAGTTATAAAATACCTGCATACAAACGTGTCGAGCAAGAAGCGCTGGAAGATTAGTGAAAGATAAAAATGTTGTTTCAAGAAATTTGATCAAATCGGTAATAAAATCACTAGCCCTACCACTCGAATCCGGCAGCTCCCAATCATAGCTAGCTGCAACGAATCAAATTACTAAACAAAGACGGAATAATTAAGAAATTGGTTCCATAAAAATAGTCAATTCAATTCTTCTACAATTAATTGGATCACATGAAATAATCGATAATCAAACAATTCTGCGACAACTTTTAATAAAATTATTTGAAGCCAATTATACTTCGATAAGAAAATAAAATTTGACAAAAAATATCCCTTAAAAAACACTAAGAATTAACCAAGCTCGAAGAATGCATCTACTTTATCATGAAGGGCTTCATCAATTCTTTGCTCAACTTCTGAGCGAGCATCGCTAAAAAATTTCAAAATAAAAAATTTCAATAAAATTTTCGATTAAAATAATTAAATAATTAAATTAAATTTTAATAAAATTTTCGATTTTTAATTTTAATAAAATTTTCGATTATAAGCATTAAGCTAAAAGTATTTATAAAAATTATTACCGGAAAACTTGATCCTTCAGCGTTACAAGATGACCTGAGGTTATTCCTGACGTATTATTTCTATTAGTCAACTTGCTAATATAATGTTCCAGAGATTCGCAAGATTTTTCGAGATAACCAATATTAATCGTTATTTGTACCAACTGAAATAAGAACTCATAGCTGACATGCATAAACAAAGAATTCGGATAAGAAATAACGACTTATCATATTTCTTTAACTATAAAATTACTATAAAACAGAGGGTTATCATTAGTATAAGAAAGAAAAGCAAGCAGAAGAGATATTATTAAAGTCATAATAAAAACAACATTTGTAAACAGAAGAGTATGCAGTAAAAACATTTTGTTCATCTAAAACTAATGAAACTAATAATAAAATCAATTTTCTCCACTTATTATTATAATATTCTGTAAAAATAATTAAGAATTTTAATTTTAAGAATAATTAATTTTAAAGTGAATACGCTATTTACTGCATTTATGTCATGCTTCTCATAATAGATGAGGGTAAGAAAATATTATATGTATGCATGATTCATATGAAAATAAAAAGATAATAAATTAAATGTAATTATGAAGAAAAACAAGCGATATAGCTCATCTAGATAAAGCTAGAAATGTTATTAAATCAAAAATTGAAAAGAACTCTTAAATAAACTTAATATTTAATATTTAAAATGACGCTCTAGCAGTAAACAATGATAATACAGCCATAATTATAAATTTAAAGTTATTTATTATTATATTATTTATTCTTAAATTAATTATAAATAGTTATACGGAGATTTTCAAAAAGAATTCAAAAAGCTAACAAAATACCTGAACCAAAGTTCTCATTTTTGAAGCAACAAAACTTTTCAAGGAACCTGACCATCGTGCCAAAAGAATATTAGCATACCGCCGAACTGTATCATCAACCTGTAAGTCAGTATCTAAATATTATACAAAAACAAATATGGATAAAAAATTATTTCCAATTGCGAAATTTTTGCAAACCTCAGTTGGTGATAGTTGCAAATGTTCCATGAATTTGAGACATCCAATTAAATAATTTTTTGATTGAGCGTATACTGTTGGAACAAATTTGGAAAAAGGAAATGTACGAGGAAAGGCTTCCTGAAGAAGCTTTTCTTTGCAATAAAAGTTTTTGCAATAGAATCACCAAATAACTTATGTCAAAAATAATTTCCTTCACTATTAAATTTTTTACTTGGTCCAGTCCTCGTTTATAAAATGGAAATTGTTTAATGATGGACTTGAATTCCTCATCATTTCCAACAGTAATCGGTGTATAATTGTCGTTTTCTAAATCTCGTTCAAACTGTGCACAATATTCGCGCATTAATATTTCATTATACTGGTCTCTAAAAAAACAGAAAATAAAATCTGAATACTTGGCTTTAAAAATAATAAAATCAGAAATAAAACGAACAATAAATAGAAAAAAAAACCTGAAATTCTGCAGCAATGTGTACAATGATCCGATACTGAAGCCATAGCTCTTCATAGTCATTGCAAACAAAAGGATTACCTTCTTCATCTTTATCATCATTTCAACATCCAAGCAGCCTCCCTAAATAAGCAAATATGAAACCAGAGTCGAGAACTATAAAATAACCCGATGTACTTTGGAAAATATCTTGCAATAAACCTAACAAAATGAGCGTTCATTGTTGTTATCACTTGTTGCAATGCCATCTCCCACAATTGATCTTTATATGCAGCTGTTACTAAACTCGGTTCAGTTTGCATTATATGGTCCTCCACGACGAAAAATCCAATGATTTCATCCAAATACCGAACGTATGAATGGATTGATTCTTGCTAATAAAACATACAAATGATGAAAAAACATCGATTAATTTATAAAAACAATGGTAGTGCCGCGAATAAATTTTATAAATGCTTTTCTCAAACACATACACACGTACACGTAATACACGTACATATACACTTAATTAAGTGATTAATTTAGTAAAAAACGATAAACTAAGAAAATTTATCAAAATTTCAGTATGATTTAAATAAAAAAGGCTTACTAGTTTATTTGGAGGTCTGATTACTACCATAGCCTGCTCTTTACGTTGTTTCCTATAATATGTTTCGAAAACTTCTCTATCACCCTGCAATTAAACACATCTATTGTCTGATCTTGCTGAAAATAATTTGAGAAATATGAATATAAATGTTTTCGATAAAAATTTATAGAAAATAAAAGTCTAAAAAATATTCAGATTTCATTATCTGCATTTGCATTTAAAGTAGAATTATTTTTAAAAAAAGAAAAAACAACTAACAAGAACATTGAAAATTTGACAGCAACGATGAACTGGTGTAAAATCAATAAGATCCTGAGCACTCATTAATTCGTCCTCTTCTAACATTGGTATTTGATTTGTTTTTCGTTCATTTTTTTCTTTCTTGACGATTGAACCATCAGATGATAGTTCTAAAAAGAGATTCTAATTCAAAAGTGCAAAAAGATCGAATATATAAAAAATATATTTCGTACATAAGCGATAGCATACCATCTTATCAAAGCGAAATGCATCGGCAAAGTCCGAGGACCCAAGCCATGATCCTCAGTGACATGCACCATGCCACTGAGCCGTCGATGCACCAGATTCGACAGATTGCAATATTAATTTTAATTATTAAAAATATACCGATATCAACATTCAACGCATTTCGCTTTGCCTCTTCTTGGATTCTTCTGTTGCGTTCCGCTTCAGACATTCCAAACGAATGTTGTTCAGCAGTACACTTTGAAGCATGTTGACCGATTCGATCTTCAAATAGTTTCATAAAAATAATGAAAAAATGAATAAAAATAAGAAATAAAAACTATACTATACATATAAATAAATAAATAAATAAATAAGTAAATAAATAAATTGAATAAATAAATCAAATGGATAAATAAGTAAATAAACAATAAATAAATAAATAACAAATAAACATACATATACCATATATATAAACATAAACATACCAGAAACTTTCCTGATATTTTCGAGGAAATCAGTAAATTCAGAAAACGATTTTTCTTTAATTTGTTCACGAACAGGTGCTAAGGCTTTTTGCAAATTTTGTGTAAATCTATATTTATCAACATGCATTAGATAAGTATGCTCTAACTCTTCCAACACTTTCAAGGCTTGATAATATCTAAATAGCGCATAAATGATTACCATATTATATAAATTATACACAAAAAAAAACAAAAAATAAAATACTTATAGAATACTTTTTTTGATTCATGAGTTCATGCAATTTTCCACAATTTTCCAAAACTGGTAAGCACATAGAAATATGATCTATAGCAGTATTAGCATTTTTTTGAAGTCTTCTATAGCGAACGATTTCAGAACTTCGTTTTTGCAATTCACGACTATATTCTTGAACAGAATCATCTATAGCTATTACATCTTTCTGCAATATTTGCATAGAAAAAAAGAGAAATAATTTATAATCTGAAGATATCATATTTCAAGAAAAAATATCAATCCGATAATGAATTTAATAAACACAAGATAAACACAAGGAAATATTATAAAAATAATTCACTTTAATTTCACCACAACGAGATTTAAGCTGCAAAAGTTGTTTCACAGATTCGATATAACTCTGGTAATGATAAGAACATATTTTTTGAATATTTTTATCATATTGATGAATACGATGTTCAAGTGCACGAGAAAATTTATGTACATCACCACAATCATATATTGCTCTGCAAATTCAAATAGCTTTTAAATTTTATTTAAATAAAATTGAAATAAAGAAGAAATTTATTTTTTACTGTTTTTTTATTATTTTGTCCTATTTTATTAAATTTATTCCCATTTTATTTGTATAAAATTTATTTAAAGAAACAATTAAATAAATAAATAAGCAAATAAAATAAGTAAGTTTGTCAATAAATAAGCAAATAAAATAAGTAAGTTTGTCAAAAAAAATATTTTTAAGATCACCAAATTCAATATTAATTTATAAAATAAATATTTTCTTTTCTACCAACTCGCATCACTAGTTTAGCACACTCTATTGATGATTAAAATGAAGTTTTCTTTTAAATCTTTCAAGCTTTTTGAATTTTGAAGCCTCCCGATCCGATGTCATTCTTGAAAGACACGCCTTCTTCCACCATCTAAGCCCGCATATTATTCGACTACGCGTTCAAAATCTCCTTCGACCATATCGATTCAGATTTGCATTGGTCTTCCTCGCCTTTGAAGCTATTTGCCATGTAATCTACCAAGTAGTACGATATCAATTTCTGGACGATAGGAAAGGCTTAATCAGCGCAGGGAACGTTTTTTGACGATATCCTTTAATACAAATAATATTCGGGCAAAGATGAATAAAATCACGCAAGACTTTATTCATTTGGCGTGGAATACGTCTTAGGCAAGAGTAATTAAGTAGCTTTCTGTATCCCATCCTTATCCGCAAACAATATAGTAAGGTTCAATACTACAACCAGATAGATATGAATTTCTATTCTAAGATTGATTTCGTCGCCAGAGAAATTTCACCAAACGAAGCAAAGCCTCTTGCTACAGCCGTCTGAACTGGAACATCATTTTTCGTCACCCATTGCGCTTGAAAGTGTAAGAAAGATATTTAAAATCTGATATTTCTTCAATGAATTTATATAAATTGCATAAACTGGACTTATCAGCGTCTCGTATAAAATTTATTTAAAAAAATCGAATAAAACCTCAAAACAAGCCCAACACTTCCGGAATCTGTTGTCTCGAGCTCATAAAGAAAAAATTCTTGTTCAGCGTTCATTTCTGGATCTAAAAATATTCAATTAATAAAAAATTATGTATTATAAAATAATATAAATTATAAAAAAAAACGAACTTAATTAACCGTTGAACCGTTGAATATTTTGATAAACCAATGTTACTAAAAGTGTTGTTTTTTATGAGAAACCAAAACTATTAATTAAAAAATAATTAAAATAATTAATATAAAAATAAAAAGTAAAAAAATAATAAGTAAAAAATAAATAAAAAAATAATTCAATGAAACCATTAATTAAATGAAAATATGAAAATTTTTACTTTCTAAATTATGTTTTTCGAAGAATAAAATTTAATAAAATAAAATAAAATTTAATAAAATTAAGCGAAAAGGGAAAATAAAAAATGAAAAATAAAAAAAATAAAAATATAAATTTACGTTAATTACAAAAAATTTTTTTCGAACTATAGAAAAGAATTAAAAAATCAAAAAAATAGGAAAAAAAACGTACAATTGTGATAAGAAGTTGAAGCAGTGTCACTGCTTCCCGTTTCTTTCGAATTGCTCGTCGTTGAAGCGCCATCCATTATCATTCCACTATTCATTATCGTTTATCGTTTAAAATATATTAATTTTTACAAAGTTAATTTTATTATATTCTGCAAATAATAAAAAAAAAATGTGAAAAACACAAAATTTTTTTAAAATAGAAATTTTTTTCCGGTGAAAATAAATTTTTTAAAATAAAATTATGAAATTAATAAAATTAAAAATAAAAAACAACTGCACCTAAAAAAAAAGCCAAAAAAAGAAAGGGAAAAAAAATGGAGCAGCAAGTCATATCGAGAAATTCACTCCGTATCGAGCGATACGAACGACTGTAAAATTCGGCTGAATATGTCTGGGTACGATTTTTTCTTCTATTCTTTAACATTATTGTTGTTTTTGTTTGCATTTATTTTGTTTATTTGTTTTTTTTTTTTGTCCGCGAAATATTTCAATTTATTATTCTTCAATTTATTGTTGGATTAATGTGTTTCGTTATCGAAAAAACTTGTTTAATTGCGACGATGATCTATTTATTTTTTTAATTTAAAATTGCTTTTTTTCTATTAATTCTTAATTGAGTTTTTTTTTATAGAAAATAATTTTCTTATAATAAATATAAAAAACTATCGTTTTCAATGATAACAATTATGATAATAATAATGATAAAGAAAAAATGTTGATAAAAGTAATTGTGAAAAAAAATATGAATGAAAATAAAAAAATGGTTAAATTAACTTTTTTGTTGGTATCCAAAAGCAATAAACAATTCTATTTTTATTTGTTTAATAGCTTTATTTGGTTGGCGATTAACAAGCTACGTGATGGTTATTTTCACGTCACACGTATTTACGTGCTATTATCTCTTATCATTACTCTACATCGTTCACATTATTTAATCGTGGTTTATCTAGCTAGCTAGAAATGTTCTATTCACTATTTCTTAACAATTGACAGTTGATAATTTACATACTTTATACTTCGCATCGTTGAACTTTATAAAATAGAATGCCTTTTGACCTTCGCGTTCTTTAACTTTACAATTTTCTTGCTATTAATAAATGTAAAAATTAGACTATACAACCAATCTTTTCTGTTTCTGAGTACCAAATAGCAATTTTTTTGCAAAATCTTTAAATTCGCCTCGCCTTGAAAGATAAACTCAGACCAAATCTTTGGATTGAAAACTCTTATTTTTCCCAAAATTTATTTATTTTTCTAGAATAATCTAAGAAACTTTCTCGTTTAAAATGTTTAGCTTGTCTTTGAAAGGTTTTTTTCATTGTCAGCTTCGGCTTCTTTTGTCGTTCATCGAAGTTTTTCCCATATAATTTTATTCTTTTGGTACTTTTATCTTTTATCAGTGTCCAGCGCAGGGCAATTTTTCGGAAATAGAAAAAAGTTATTGATGAAGTAAAATGTTCATTCGCCCTTAATATTTATTATTTATTAATAGATTTTTTATCTAAAAATCCGATCTTTTCATGTTAGTCGATTGTTAAAATTTCTCTCGAAGCTGACCTCTGTTTGACCTCTCGTATCATTTTTATATGACATTGAGAATATATCCCAATTCTTTTAGATTTCTTATTTCTTTTCTATTTTTTTTTATTTTTGTGGTAATTTTTGTAAAATATTTATTTTGAGGAAATCAAATCAGTAGAAAACGAAAGGTTTCGCCTGCTTATAATTTACGAGACGATTGCTATTTTTAATATTTATTACTTTATATTTATTTGTATTTCCTTAATTTATAATAGTTAATCATACGATTTTAGTTCTTAACTAATATTATTTGCAAACAATTTTATAAGAATTCATTTTCGCAAAACAAATTTCTATAAATGATCTGTAAATAATCATGTAATAATCGAGAGGAAAAGAAATGAAAACAAGTGCTATCAATCAGTAAGTAATTCTTATCACAAAATTTCTTATCATCATCATCATCAATTCAATCGTACCGTACAGTTTCTGCTTCTTCATAATTTTATTTCACTATTATTGCTATAATTTTAGTATTATTTATTGAAATTTTTCTATCTTAAATTATATTAAAATTAGTTTATTGTAATTTTTTTTAAATTTTTTAATATCCTAAATTTTCTATAATTTTTTATCAGTATATATCAGTATATTATTATATTATATCAGTATATATATATATATATATATTATATCAGTGTATATATATATTATATCAGTATATTATTTTTTATTATATAATTTTTTAAAATTTTCCTAGGAAATTGGCTATAAACATATATATATATATTTTATTTAAATGAATGCAGTTTTTAAAGCAGATTTTTGGCAAATTTCATCCATATCATTCTTACGAAACATCGTTTTTCTATAATTATTTGTATTGCAATTAAATAAAATTTTTTTTTTACGTATTTAACGAATGCGATCCGAATTTAAGGATAATTTTTTCTATAAAATTAGATAGCAGCAAGCAAATCATCTATTTGATTTGTTTAATTTGCACAAGAATCGCAGCCAATTTCTATTCATCGCTTAAATGTCGTGATGTTAAATTGTATGTTAGCTTTTCTATATTATTCCAAATCTTATTTATTTAAATCGAAAATTTTTCGCGAATTATTGATTAAATTTGAGGTCAACATGGGGTCAACTGGTTTGTCATCATTCATTATTTGAAATTTTGCAATTTTCGTTTCACTTATAAATGATTAATTATGGAATTTGTGAATGGAAAAATTAGTTGAAATTATTTTTAAAATGGTCATTTGAAAGAAAATAAATTTTCTATTGTTCGATGCACGATTTTGAAAAACTTCTTCAAATATTCTTTATTCAAGTTTCTTTTTTAAATCTTTGGATTAAATCTTTAATGGATAACCGTGGTTGAGATGGCAGAGATTGCGATGGTGGTGATAGGTGTAAAAATGGTGATGGTGATGGATGGTGATCATCGACACCCATACTCACCATTATTTGATATTGCTTATCTTCTTTATTGTTTTTTGATAAGATATTATTTAAAACACACCTTTATTATTTTTACTTTTAAAATATCTTTCAATTTTATTTTATTTTTTTCTTAATTTTAATAACTTTTATGATAAACGTTAAATTTAGATGCATTTTGCTTTATAATTATAATTAAAATTATTTTAATTATTATTAAATAACATTTAGTAAAAAAGGTGTAATTTTGCTAGAAAAATATTTGGGGATAGGAGGGCGAGCCTTACCTAACATTACGTAGTTTTTCGAAAGTTTTAAGTATTAACAGCCTCGGTGTGAGGTAGAGGTAGAGTCTCAGGTGATGCTTGACATTATAGAATAATTGGAGATTATTTGCGAATTTTATTGGAAATAATCAGACAGATGATTGAGTGGTGGTTAATAAAAAAGAAGCAATAGTTGATAAGGAGGAAAGCTTTTTGTATATTTCTTAAAATATAAAATATATGCATATACATATATTTTTTTTTTTTTTAAAAGTCCTTACCATTACTGGTTAAACTCGCTCCACTGGTTTGTTGCATTGGGCAATATATCAGAGAGTCCCTTGGCGATAGAAATACAGGTGAATCAGCCAGTATCACCTGGATTTTTATACAGGTTTACTCCTGCCGGGAATCGAACCTCAGCATCGTCCCTCCAAACTGAGCTGCAATAACCCACTGAACAATTCTATTCCCATATACATATATATATATATATATATAGCATATAATATTTATTCCTACTACTGAAATAAAATATAAATAATATTTATTTTATAAAATAAAAAAAATTTATTCGTTTTGATTGATTTCTCACTTTAAATTCTGTTAAATTTATGATTAAATATAAGTATAATCAAATGTATTAAATATTAAATATTTTTTCAATTAAAACAATCATAGAAATAAATTCAAAATATCAGATAATAATGCTTTAGTTTAATAATATACACCACCTTATATGCATAAAAACATATAAATAAGTAGGTGATTAATGCTTCTGGTGACCATTCTGGTTGCATTTGTTCCACTACCAGTGTAATGAAAAATTTTTAACAGGAAAGGGGAGTTGTTTAGCGATGAAAGAAGTGGTTTACGAGTCATCTGGATTTCTTAATGATTTAATTTTGTTAGAGAAGACGGAAGCCGTAGTACCCGACGTTCAAGACGATTAAAGATGTGAGCAATAAACAGAGCTACTCGGCTATCGTTCCTCTTAAAGATGTGAGCAATAAATAGAGCTACTCGGCTATCGTTCCTCCTATAGCACACAAATATAATTATATTCGATTATCTATTTTACATTTATCTAAAATATGAGTAAAGTTACTAGCGTAAAGCCGAAAAATAGTTTTTTTTTGACGATTTCCTTTCTTTTTCTTCGATTTCTAATCGAATTAAAGTTGTTAAAGATTGGTGATTTCATAGGGTGAGAAAATTTCGCTGAATTCATCTGAAGAATTGTTTTTTGCACAAGTTTCTGGTCTTTTTTTTGCAGCTTTTTAGTTGTTTTTTGCAGTTTTATAGTCTTTTTTGCAGCTTTTTAGTCGTTTCTTGCAATTTTATAGTCTTTTTTGCGGCCTTTTAGTCGTTTTTTGCAGTTTTATAATCCATGTTGATTCATAAATAAACGAGGAATTTTTAGTTGCATAAATGCCTAATCGTTTATTAATAGAATTTTTTGGAATAGAAAAAAATCTTTTCCTTTCAAAGATTCTTTTATTTGTTTAAATGTTATACATATTTTCAAAAATTATTCATCGCAAGAAAAAAATTTTTCTTTTAAATTTTATTTGAAGGTACTTTTCCGGAAAGTTTGCAATTATAATCTCATATTGAATTTAAAATTATTCATTAGGAAGGAAGTGTGCATTTGCGGATGATTAAGGAGGAGGATGATTAAAAACTTTTATGATAGGAGGCAATGAAGTTCCACAGGTTCCATAGGTGGGGTAGAGAAGTTCCACAGGTTTCACAGGCGGGGAACAGTTTTATTTATTTTAGAGGAAAATATATACAATATATTTATATATTTATTCGAATTAAACGAATTCCTATGGCGTTTTAATCGAATTATTCATTAAGAAATGTTCAAAAATTAAAAATTGCTTTTTTTTTTTACAGATTCTTATTTTTTAAAAAAAAATTTTAAGAAATGGAAAATGAAACGATTCATAAGCAATAAACAGCGGCAGAAGCGTTTTATTTATTTTTTTTATTACATTTTATTTTTTCTTAGAAAGAATTTTTTGGATTTAATTTAATTAATTTAATTTTGGAATTTGAAAATATTAAAAATCAAAAGAAAAAAATCATTAAAAAATTAAAATTTAAGCCAATTTTCATTTTATAATTATTGTTTTTTTTTTGTGCCTACGATTTTAAATCAAATAAATTACTATTTTCTCCAACAAATTACGCTAATCCAACTAAATTTCTTCCAGCAATCTCATGTTTTCACCTTTTTTTTTTTGAAGTAATTTTCCTTTTTTTCCGCGAATTTACTTTGGTGCAATATTTTTAGTTCTGCAAAATTTTTCATTTTTAAATTTTTTTTTACGATTATCCGAATGTTTTGTTTTGTTTTCAATAAATTTTTCCTCTTCAACAATCGCTTTATATACAATAAATTGTATATAAATTAGATTTTAAACGGAAAAATTTATTTCCACTCTTTTTCTTTAGATCGATTCCGTTATTATTATTTATTATCGTTTTTCGTGATGAATCCGGATAGATGAAAAATACTTGAAATTTCAAGAAATGGTTTTTTGACGAAAAATACGAGAATTTTAATCGAATATAATCGTATCGAGCAAAAAAAAAAAAAAAATTTATTTCATTTATTTATCATTTATCATTTATTTTAAATAGGCTTATCGTTTGATAAATTTTATAAAACTGATCGGATCAGCTAACTCGTTGATTATTTCCGCTTAAATTTCTAAATCTTTTTTTTCATTTTTTCTTATTTCAATAATTTTTTATTTTTATATTTAAATGGATCTTTTATTTCTATTTAACTATGTTTTAATGAAAAGAAATTCATGAATTGAAAAAAACGAGTTTTTATGGAATCAGTCAATCCATCGCGTGCAATTGTTTTTTTCATGTTATAACATTTTTTTGATGAATGGACATATATGGAAAAAATTTATGAAAATTCTAGCTTTTCTAGGTTAATTTATAGTTGTTTGGAATAATGGAAGAAGAGATCCATGGCGGATTTTATGAGATTGGTGCGTATCGACATAATGTTCGCCGTTATAAGGAAGGTATTGAACAACTCAACGATATTCAATCCATGTTAAAGGTAACTAATTTATTGTCAACCAATCTGTAGTGCTTAGCATTTGGGAATCATCCTTAGCCAGCGAAGCCTTCCTAATCACTAAGGATTTGTTTGTTTAAAAAAGACCTAAAAGTTTAAAGTGATTAAAAGTGAAAAGTGATTAAGTTCAGGTTTTCTCTATTGTTAGAACGCGCCCTTGTTCTCTAATTTATTGTTGATTTTTTTTTATGAGAATAAGAACAAATAGGTATATTCGAGAATTTATTGCTTTAACAAATACAATCGAACCGTTTAATTTTAGAGTAAACTTTAGTAAAACTAAAGAACTTTAGTAAATTAACTTAGAACTAACTTTAGTAAACTAAAGAACTAAAGACGTTGAATGAGGAAAAATAAATCGAATATTGGTTTGGTTTTTTCTCTATAAGAAAATAATTACGTGCCATATTTGCCATACTTGCCATAAGCGATAAAATTTTTTGTTAGGAACGTGCCGATATCGAATCGTCATACGCTAAATCGTTGCAAACGTTTCATGCAAAATGGTCCAACTATGTTTCACATTTGCCTCATTCAACAATTAAAAATGTTTGGACGGAATTATTAGAAGAAGGAAGTGAAGTTTCTAAACTTCATGCAAATGTTAAGGATAGAATTTCTGATGAGGTTTGTTTCGTTTTTAAATTCGCTTAGAAATTGTAATTAAATATTCGGAAATTTCGTTTGGATTCGTATTTTTTTCGCAAATATTTTTCGTATTTCGATTCGATTATAATTTATATATTTAAAATATTTTTTAAAATATTAAAATATTAAAATATTTTTTTATCAGAAATATAATCAAATTGCGAATAATTTTTTAAAATTAATTAGAAATTTTCAGTTGTTAAAAACTATCTCTTTGTATCTGAAAGAAAATCACCATCCAACAGCATTTCGAGCACCAAAAGAAATTCGAGAAATTGAGGATGATTTTGAAAAAGCACAACGACCATGGCGTAAACATTATGAAAAAGCTGAAAAAGCAAAAAAAGCTTTTCATTTAGCTTCAAAAGCCGAACGATCAGCAGAAATTCAGGTTTTCATAATAATATTATTTATATCTCTTTTATCTTATTCTAATTTTTACTTTTTCTTTACAATAGTACATTCGATGGTAAAAATAATCTTATCAGTTGTTAGTGTATGCAAGAAATATTCTTCAAAATATATTTTATTTTATATTATATAATATTTTTATAAATATTAAATCAAAATTAATTTTATTAATAATTCATTAAAATAAAAATTGACAATGGGTATAATGGGTTTAAGGTTTTTTTATTGGAAGACTTATTATGGAATTATATTTTATTGAATCCTATTATACTTAAAGTGTTTATTATGATCCGCTCTATTGGCTTCTTTTTTTTCAATAAATTAAATTAATTTGCGCAGAATTTTTTATGTGATAGTTTCAGGCGAAGAATGCGTCGGGTGATTCGTCTATATCAACTGATAATGAGAATAAATTTCGAGAACGTTATCAGAAATGTCAAGGAGAATTGGCTAAAAGTGAAAAGGCTTATCGAGTTGCGATAAACGATCTAATTAGCCTAAAAGCTAATTACATATCACATATGGAAGATGTGAATTTTTCGCTTTTTTTTTGCAAATTATTCCAGAGGGGAAAAAAATAAAATTAAAATTGGATAAAACTTAGAAGAAAATCGAATTAATTGGCTTAAATTAATTATTTTTATTGCTCATTTCGATAGGTAACAATTTTGAATTTTTAGGTTTACGAAAATTGTCAACAAAAAGAATTAAAGCGGCTTAAATTCGTTTTCGAAATGTTATGTGGTTTTCAAAAAGTAGTTGTCGATGTAGCGACAGCAACGAAGTAATTTTTGCTTTTACTGAGAGCCCTTTGTTCATCCTTCTCTTATTGCGACGTTGCGACGTGAGAGGGAAAGAAAGAAGGGAAATTAGAATAAAAAATTTTTAAATTCTTAAATTTTTTTGAATTTTTCTCTTTTTACTTCGGTCAAAAAGTAGCACTAAAAAAAAGTGCGATTTTTCTATGATTTTTACATATTTCACAAAAAAATGAAGGCAAACAACAGCTATGCATTGTATTAATAATAAAAACATAAAATTTTATTATATGATAATTATAAAAAAATTATATAATAATGATAAAATGATAAAAGATTAAAAATTTTTGAGGTTATAGTTTCTTTTAATTTGGAATAACAGAATCAAATTGTTTCTTATAATGGAGGATCAAGAGGTAGAACCCGATTAATTCCTATTTTTTTATTCATAATTTAGTTAATAATTGGGTTAATTTAGTTGTAATTGAGGATATTAAGGAGCTATCTGCCCTTGACCACTCTTGTCTAAGGTACATATTACGGATACGTCGAACGGATAAGGTATCACAAGATCGCATCCATCTTCGTTCAAATACCACTTGCATAAATAATGTTATCACAGAGCGCCGCCTTCGCTGGTTAGGGCACATTCTCCGTCGTCCACCACAGGAATTGACGCATATTTCATTATTTGCTAAAGCGTGTGACGGTTGGCGTCAAAAGCGAGGTGGACCAATCAAGATCTGGATTGATACGGTGAGAAAAGATTTTGAACGTATAGGTGGACCAGCAATATATGGACTTAGACGATGGAAAAAGGAATGGCTTCCATTACTGTCGACGATGATATCAGGCCGCACCGCTTGGAAGCGTCTTACCCTTGTAGCCGTTGGAGCCAGCCAAACCAGTAATGTTGAGAGCTGTTAGAAGAAGAAGAAATTTAGTTGTAATTAGTACAATTACAATTTGATTTGATTTTTCGGGTTTTTGTGACTCAAATTTCTATCCTTGAATTAAAGGACTTTATGCATAAAATTTTTTTTTATAATCTTTCTTTCTTAAAAAATATAAATTGTTTTTTCTTAAAAATTATAAAACTAAAGAATATTAAGTAAAGTAAATGTATTAATTAAATTTATTCAGGTTAAATCAAATACATCGTAAATTAGAAGCTGTTTTTTCAAGAAATGATAATCGTTTTGATATAGATTTGGCGGATTGGACGAATAAATTTGGTCCTGGTTCTTCAATGAAATGGCCTGAATTTGAGGTTCTTTCTTATAGATTATTTTTTTTTTAGAAATTTCTCTTCTATTCTTGAATTTTGCAAAAAAAAGAAAATTTCCGAAATTTAGAAAAAATTCGATTAAAGTTAGTTTTATAATTTTCGTTTGTGAAAGAATTTTGAATAAAGAGCGATTTTTAAAATTTTTGTTGGATCGTTTGATTACCACTTGATCATCGTTTGTTTTGTTTTAGCCGTATAAGCCATCGTTGCATCATATTGCATCGAAAAAGGACAAAAATACAAATGATGTAGTAGTATTAACAAGGCAGATAATTAGAATCGATGATGAACGTGAATCTCCATCTTCCGCGCATTCGAAGCAACCAAACGGACTGCCAAAAGTCAGAGAGCCATCTGATTCGGCGGTACAAATTGATACCAATGAGGCGCAGAATGTAAAATTTTTTTTTTCATTTCAAGCATAGAATTCATTCATGATAAAATTTAGATGAATTTTATTTATTTATTGATATCAGTGTTAATGAAAAATCGTTGAAGAATCGTTGAAGAAAGAATTATGGTTTTTATTTATTTAGAATTTATCAAATGAAAAAAATTTTATCGAAGTAAAAACTGCTGATCATTCGAACCAAAATGAACCGATTCGCAGCACAACGAACGAAATGACTGATTCAACGACGGATGCACTCACTTATGGCAATAATTTTGACGATTATACAACAAAAGATATTGTTTTATATATGGCAAAAGTGTTATTCGATTACGAAGCACAAGATACCGATGAATTGTCACTAATTAAAGGTACCTTACCAAAGAGTTGCTCATTAGATGTTTGAATTCAAAATAGTAGTATTTTGGTGATGCACTGACTGGTCCCAGATGTTAATTATTATTACGTGACGACAGCCTAGGCTCAGGCTTAAGTAAAAATATTAATTTTTAAGATTAATATTTAAAATATTAAAATAATTTTTTAAAAATTTTAAAAATTTTAATTTTAATTTTTTAAAAGTTTCATTTTAATTTTATCGATGATTGGAATTATCCTATTGTTCTTCTAGTGAATAAACTGTTGTACTGCTTTATTGTAATACGGTTTTCTTATTATTGCAAGTAGCCATAATGGTTTGATTCTTTTTCTCTTCTTCTAACAATTCTCGCCATTACTGGTTAGGCTGGCTCCAGTGACTATCAGGGATAAGACGCTTCCAAGCGGCGCGGTCTGATGCTATCGTCGATAGTAATAGAAGCCATTCCTTTTTCTATCGTCTACGTCCATATATTGCTGGTTCACCCATTTGTCCAAAATCTTTTCTCACCGTATCAGTCCAGGTCTTGATTGGCCCACCTCGCTTTTGACGCCAACCATTACATGGTTTAGCAAGTAACATGCGACAAATATGCGACAACTTTTGTGGTGGACGACGGAGAACATGCCTAACCAGCAACGCTCTATCTTAATATTATTTATGCAAATGGATGAAGGTGGATGCAGTCATGTGATATTGTATACGCTCGACGGATCCGTAATATCTACCAAGAGTGGCCAAAGGCAGAAAATATCCTCCACTCTCATTGGCCATGTCTCAGAACCATATAGCAAGATCGAACGGATCACGGCAATATAGATGCGGTCTTTCGTTTTCATGGTGATTTCACGACGATTCCATAAAAGTTTCGTCAACCGAAAAAACACATATCTAGTTGCCGTGATCCGGATTTTTTTTTTTCTTGCAATGGTTTGATACATTTAGTCATATTTATTAGGTCATATTTCAGGTGAAGAAATCGAAGTATTAGGTGATCCGGATCGATTAAATTGGAGTTTTGGAAGAAAAAATGGTCGTACAGGGTTGTTTCCCGCATCGTATGTGCAACGTTTGTAAAATATGCAGATTTTTTTACTGATCTGTTCGTATTGAAGCAGAATTTTTGACAAATTTTTTACCCAAATACAGCTTGCTCAGTTTCTTTATAAGTTCCATATCTCGAATATTTAACTTCTTTTCTTTCGATTTTTTTAGAATTATTAATTAGCTAAAAGTAGACTAATGATAAATTTCGCTTAAATATTCGCTTTGAATTATTTCTTTTTTCGTTTCCCTCTTTACTTGGTTCTTTTTTTAAAAATTTTCTTGCCTTTGCAATTACATATTTTGTCGTTTTTTTTTTAAAAAATTCCGTCTTTTACTTATTTATTTAATTTGTGGTTTATTGTGTTTCGCTTATCAAGAATTCAATGAAATTCAATGAATTCCCTTCTTTCTATTCATTCCATTATTATTTATCATTTTAATCATTCCTTTCGCAAAAAAAATTTCATTTTAACTTATTAATTTTAATTTAATGTCTCTTTATTTAGTATTATTTATCATTTATCATTATTTATCATTTATCGGAGAAAATTCACTTTCACTTTTTTTTTATCAAACATTCCATATAATATTCGCTGTTCGCTAATAATTGCAAAATTATTTGTTTTTCTCTTTGAGTGAAATGCTTTCTACGAAAATAAGAGTGATTAAGAATAATTTTTGAAATTGATTCCAGTGATTTAATATGCTTTATATTCACTTCGTTATTTTATTACATTTTATTTTATTTTATTAAATTTTTCTTTTTTATTTTCTATTTTTATTATTTTTATTGTTCTAATTGCTTCAAATGTTAATGATAAATCACATCTTTTATTTACAACGATTTATTACAATAATTTGTTTTTTAAATTGTTTGAATAATTAAATATTATATAAATATTTAATGAATTGTTTGACCTAACTTAATGCTATCACAAGTGTAGAACGACCATATAATATTTATTTTATTAGGCTTAGGCTGAGGCTTAGGCTAAGGCTTTAGTCGTTACGTCAGTCATTTGAACTGACTTTCTGAATTCTAACGAGCTATGACATTTGAGCCTCATGAGTTTTAAAAAATGACTGCCGACATTTCTCATAACTGAAGTGATTGATCAATTGAACATTCCCTATTAGGAGTGCAGTGGTCGATAGTATTGTTTTATGGGTTCAGTTCCATTTTTGGCGAGAACAAATTACTTAAAGGTGGTTGGTAATCGAACGTATGTCGGATAATATTTCAGATCTTTGCATAGCTGTGAAATGAAAATCGTAGTTTCAACGCTCACAAAAGATAAAAAATATTCTTTTTATAAAAGAATATAACAAAATTTTTCAAAAAATATTAAAATTTTTCCATCGTTTAAAACTAAAACTGAAAAATATCTTATCAAAATCTATAAAGCGTTCACTTGGCCAATTCTTGGCGCATAATGAAATCTGTTATTCCCTTAAATACCGCAAACCAAGAAAAAATTGCAATTTATGCATTGTCTCTCTTATAATTGCGATTTTAATTCTATAATAATTATATAATCTAAATTCCTTCCCACTCAATTCCATGAATTTATAAATTTGTACATATAAAATTTTACATAGTAATTAAATTAGATCATTGATGATATGATAATGATATGATATAATAGTTTTAGGTCAAATCTGAACCTAACAAATTCTAATCGCGTCAAATTGTTGTTATCATGCAATGTAGAAAATTTGAGAATTAGTCTCTCGATTCCATGCCAGTAATCCAATATCTGCGATATTTTGTTCTCATTATATTTTATATTTTATTTTATATTTTATCACTAATTTCTTTTCATTTAGCACCACATTTGTTGTTTTTAATGCGATCGCATGACGCTTATCACCCTGCTCGAATTTCAAATAAAATTGAGTTGTTGAACATGTGGCCCGCCGGTTATCATATATTATATCATACCAATCTCATGAAAAGTGTCTCATCTAGGCGATGAAATGAATAGGTAAATGCTGCTCTTATTTAAAAATTAAATATTTGGGATCTGCAACTTAACCGAATTAGATTTTCTATTTAATTCGATTGAAATTATATGGATTAGGGCAAAACTCAGTTCTTTCCCTCGCTAAAAACTTTCTAGTTATAAATAAAAATCAACTGCAAACAAACGCAAACCGTCAGCTGTTAAGTATGGAAAAAAATCTGATTCGTAATTTGTAATTCGTAAAACATCGAATTTCTGTGACAGTTTGGGGATCAATAATTTTTTAAATCCCGAATTCAGATTAAAAACGTCGAAAAATTATTGAATCGTTCAGCCAATTCAATTTTCATCTATTTTAAAAAGAATTATTTAAATTATATAAAATTATTTAATTACAAATTATTAATAATAAATTGTAAAAAAATTATATAAAAAATTACATAAATTATTTAAATAAAAGGCTTTATATGAATCATAAATCATGTGGGATAATCTAAGAAATAAACTTTTAACTTTTTTTAATGTACACAAATTATGCAAGAATAATCCAAAAAATTTTAAATTTCACTCACTGAACTAACTGAACAATTCGCTGAAAATCTTTACTTTGTTTTTCAAAAATTTGAATAAATTCAAAAAATTTGTTTGAAGCAATCGATTATTTAATTAATTAATGATTAATTAATTAATCATTTGTAAAACGTTTTATTTTATTCAGTTATAACAAGAAAATTATCGATCTGCATAATCAAGTAGAATTATGGTTTAAACATCCTGTGATAATCACTAAAATTTAATACTGAATTCTTTCATTTAATTTTGCTTAAGCGATATAATAAAAAAATAATATAATAATAAAACTAATTTAACTAGTTTAAGACCACTCAAACGGTTCCTAAAAGTATACAGTTAACTACAGTTAATCTACCTTGTTTAATTTCTTAGCCCTCATCTTCTGCATCACAATCCTCATAGGGTTTGAATTCAGATTCATAAAGAGATTCGTGTTTAGCCAAGATTCTTAAAAGTGGACGCACTCTTAACCACCACTGATCCTTTGGTAAACGATGCTCGAAATCCGTTTCCAAAGCTAATTCTTCGACAGGTGTAAAAACAACTCGTCGACCCTGAATAATATTATTGAAGCCTCCATTTCTGTATAGAAAATGCCTCTTCTACTAAATTAAAGCGTAAAAGAAATGGTGAAAATCGCTTTTAGAAATAGTGAAAAAAATGAATAGTAAATAAGATAACTCCTACCAGGAATTGAGGAATTGAGGCTTGGATTCAAATCGAACTAATGTACCACGTTTCAAAAGGCGATAATGTCTAATGTAGAAAAGAAACGGAAAGTAAATGGTTCGGTGGGTTATTGCTTAACTTGCAGCACCAGTGCTAAGATTCTACTCTGTATGTCTCGCAAGGGATTCTATAGCATATTTGTTTAATCCGATAAGCTAGTGCAGCGAGTCTAACCAACAATGGTGAGTGCTTAAAAAAAACTTAAACATGAAATGAAAAACATACAAGCAAACCGAGAAGCGTTGCCGTATCATCATGTGTTGCATTAACTTTTCCAGTGGCTGAATCATATGAAGCATGCACCTGTGCAACAAGATACTCTAAAGCACGAGCTGCTAATTTTGTACCCATGTTACGATCGAAAGCAGTGGGATTTCCACCCTGTTGAGCATGCCCGAGTATATTAATTCTGAAATTCATAGAATAAATAATAAGAATTCATTTAAAATGATGGATGAAAAAAAACATTAAGCATTGTTTTCTAAGATTTCAATCATCCCGAATTTATAAAAAACGATTAATTCTCCCAATGAGACCGAAAAGCAAAAATAAATCGAAAAGAAATGAAAATTGAGCAAAACAGACTAAAAATGAAAATAATTTAACTTTACCATTCTAGCAGAATAGAAAAACAATTAGGATTTCATTAACTGTCAGCTGGAATCAACGAGAAATGAAAAAAGCTGTTAACCTATGGAATAATTTATTTTCTTCTTTAATTCATCTCTTCCTGAAGTACTTTACCTTTTATCCTGAACCCTTTTACTCTTTCCCACGCAAGTTTTATGCAAACACCTGAGTTTCATTTAGAAAATCCATTCTTTATTACTTTATAATCCTATATACAAAGAATGGAAATCAAACCTAGTCGAAAATTCCCCTTTGCCTTCTTCAGCGAAAAGCTGCTTAACAAATTCCGTTGTATAATTGTTATTCGCATTTTCACAACGAACAACCAAATATCTTTGAACACCGGTTTTCATTTTTTTGACAATAACCTGAAATTTTTATAATGATGGCTAATGGGAAAAAATTTCAAATTGATTGTTTAATTTTTTATGAAAATTCAATTTTTTAACAGCCAATTATTTACCTTGACATCATCGACAATATCTCCTACACTAAATTTCTCTTCGAAGATATATGCGTTGTCAGCACCAGATGCAAGAGCAGATAAAGTAGCCAAATATCCACAATAGCCACCCATAGTTTCGATAATAAAAACTCGCTTTTTGGTGCCTGCTGCTGATTGCTTGAGTTTATCAATCATCATACAGATTTCATTAACAGCAGTATCAGATCCAAGCGATAAGGATGTCCCTGGGACGTTATTACTAATGGTGCAAGGTATAACACATAATGGAATACGCAATGAAGGAAATTTTTCACGTCCACGTGCTAGTAACAAACAAGAATGATACGCCTAAAACAGAATGTTCAATAAATATCTATCCTGGCATAATGTAATCTTAACTGATTTAAGGTTTTGCAACAATTAAAAAATAATTTAAAACATGCAAATATGCAAAACAAAACAACCGAAAGCTATCAAAAATAAAATGTAAAAGACAGCAGAAAACGACAAAGAAAACAAATTAACAGATAGAAAAATAATATTCCCAAAATACCTCAAAACCACCAGCAAGTAGCAATGCATGTATATCAAACTTTTGTAACGCCGCAGCTATTTTGTCCATATTTTCAGTGGGCAATTGTTTTTGAGTTCCCAGAAATGATCCCCCGTGCATTACCCAATTCGAGACATCACGCCAAGCCATTTGCTGTATAATTCTCACTTTGAGTTTTTATCCAAAGAAAAAGAAAACGACAGGTATGAAAAGGAAAAAAGAATGTACTTACTTTTAGATCACCATTCATCAAGCCCAAAAACGAATTTTTTATGCCAAAAACTTTGCAGTGATGATATATGCCCATTCTTACAAATGAACGAACGACAGCGTTCATGCCTGAATATCTTTGAATGATGTAAATGGTTTTCTAGCTACTATAAAAAATTTTACCGCCAGCTGGAGCTCCAACATTCATGACGGCTATGTTGAAGCTTTGAACTTTCGAGAGATCAATATTACGTGGAATATGCAACTTTGTCAACAATCGATAGGTATCCAAATTGCGCTGAAAACTTCGGCCTCTTAATCTCACCGCCGAATCCCAATCATATTCGTTCATTGCTTTTTGAACCTGAAAATCTCATCTCCGAATCAAATTTAATTTAAAATATGATTGAAAAAATCTTTTCCCATTATATTTCATCTTCACTTTTAATTTCAATTAAATAAACTATAAAACCCAAAAAAATCCCTGAAAAAAAAGAGCTTACCGCTTGTGTACGTAATACACATTCCATTAATGGCACACGAACAATGCTATTTCCATCAATCGAAACGACACAAGGTTCGGATTCAGGTGTCATTTCCATAAGCGCTGTTACCGCTTCTGCACCCATTCGACACCCTAATAAACGGTCAAATGCTGAAGGGCTGCCGCCTCGTTGTACATGACCAAGAACCGTGACTCGCGTATCGTAATGTAATCGCTGTTTTATGGTAGTCATAACCTTAAAATAATTTACAAATAGAAATAGAAAATCTTCATTATAATAACTAAAGGCGAAAACAAGTTTTTAAAAAATGTTTTTTCTTTTAATTAAAAATTTTCCATGCGATGAATCAGAATAAAAAAGAATTAGCTAGTTGTGGCTCAAATCACGCAAAATTTTTTTCAAGAAATTTTTCAAGAAACAAAAGTTTATCAATCATTTAATTCGTTGCGAAATAAATTATTTACTTCGTTTGTGGTAATTGGTCGTCCCTCACGATCAATCGCACCCTCTGCAACAATTATGATGTTTAACCTTGATCCTTCTCCTCGCATCATTTGAAGCTTATCGCAAAGAACTTGTGGCCAATTTGTTGGCGGTGGCCATTCAGGAATGAAACAAAAATCTGCCTCAGTAGCCAATGCAGCTACTAATGCCAAATAGCCACAATGTCGACCCATAACCTGACGGAGAGACATACCATAAAATGGTGATAAAATCAGATAAAACAATATGAATTTATTAGTTTATCAGTAGTTTAATAGGAAAAAGAAATAAACCTCAATAACAAATGAACGTTGATGACTTTGAGCAGTAGATATTACTGAATCAATCGCTTCAGTGATTCTGTGTAATGCAGTATCAGTTCCAATCGTCATATCAGTTCCACAAAAATCATTATCAATAGAACCAACAAGCCCAACAATCTGAATAATATATTTAATTCAAAAGATTGCTGATTTCACGAACATCTTCATGGCAAATCAATTTTCTACATATTATGACTAAAAAATGAATGACTAAAAAATCCATGACTTAAAAAAAAAGCAAATAATGGAATATGAAAGATATTTTTTTCATAAGAATTATATAGACATTATATGTGCCAATAATGGCCTAACTTTAAGCTCAAACCAAAAGAAGCAGAAAGAATATTAACCTGGATGTTACTACACTGTTTTGCTTTTTCGGCAGTTACTTTGCCAGTATTAACAAGTTCTTGTACAAGTTCAGGCCATTCTTGACGAAAGAGATTTGCACCTGTTAAAGAACCATCACCTATAATAAAAAATACTCATAAAAAACATAAAAATTGAACTAATTTGATAAAGAAGAAAAAATTTAAAATATAATAAATTACTGGAAGATATTTATTAAAATTTCACTATCTGACTAGGTTTAATGAAAACCAGAAAAAAGCTATTTAGAAGATAAAAAAGTATAATAATAAAAAGAAATACGATGAAAATATAAAAATATATAAATAAACACAAAAAATTTGTACATATCAGAATCGATCGTTAAAACATTAAATCTTAAATAAATATGACTCATTTATTTGTTCTGAAAAATGATAAAAAAAAAGACATTATTATTATTATTAACCTATTCACTAATATACTAATATATAATATACTAATATAAACTATTCAATTAGTATTTATTTACTTAATTGATTAAGCTCGCTCCACTGGCAATATGCCAGCAACAACCTACTAAGCAATTACCTACTACTAAGCAATTCTATCCCCACTTATTTATATTTATTTATCTGTTTATCCAGATTCAAAGAAAAACAAAGCATACCACCAATGCATACAAGATTCGTAATATTATAGCGTATGAGGTTTGCTGCTGCAGCAAGTCGACCAGATCGTTCGCGAAATTCTTTGCAACGTGCTGAACCAATTATTGTGCCTGAAATATCATTAAAAATAAAACAAATATATAAACTTATATCCAGAAAAAAAATTATTCAATTTAATTAATTATTTATATATTATTAGTTACTGTTGTTCAATAATATAAATATAAAATTCAAATTAAAATCGTTAAAAATAAAAAAAATTATTTATAAAAGAATTTTCCAGAAAACATTCCCTACAAAAAATAAAATTAAAGGTGACCTCCTTTTTGAATAATATCAGAAACGGAATCCCATTCAGCTAATTTAATATATTCGCCACCATCAACCATTCCTTGATAACCTTCATAGATGAAATAAACACGACAACCCAAATAAATACCCATACGAACAACTGATCGAACAGCACTATTCATTCCTCAAAAATTATAACAAATTTTAAAATTCATTTCAACAATATAACCTGAATTCTTTTTCAGTTCGTCATATTAAATAAGATTTAACTTAAAATTATAAGATTTTTTATGGTTATATTAAACTAGAATGATCAAAATATTATAATTTTAGGCTAAGTTTGAATCCAACAAGAACTAATAGGCTAAAATTATTAACACCTATGTATACCAAAATTAAACTAAGAACTCATGATTTCTTTATTCGTACTATTAATTATTGGCATAAATTACCGAACGATATAACTTGTGCATCTCTAGCTATTTTGTACTCAAATTGTACTATATTATATTATTTTATAATTTCCTCCTTAAATTATAAATTTTTTGTCATATTTTCTTCTTTTTTTTTATTATTAATTCTTATTATTTGTTATTTCAACTGTAGTTATTAATACAAGCACATGGTGTTTGTCGCCCTGCTTGACTGGTTTTCAATAAATAAATAAATAAATAAATTTTGTATTAGATAAATGAAAAAACAAACCGGGAGCATCACCGCCACTTGTAAAAACAGCTATTGACTGGCCTTTGTAAGTATTTGGCGCGAGTATTGTGCCCTCTTTACCAGCCGTTGGTATTATCGAATCAGCACGACATTTCCCGTGTCGACCACTGCGTTGTCCATCATGCGATGGTGAATGAGCATCAATATCATCTTCAGCAAATACCAGTCGTGTTCCGTCATTTGCAAATGATAATGCTTGTGCCATTACCTAATTATTTATTTATTATTTATTAATTTCCATAGTTTTTTTTTCAAAAATAATTTTCACTGATAAAATAATCTCGAAGAAATATAAAAAAATAAGCAATAAAAGGAATAACACAACGAATTAATAATAAATTTAAAGAAAATTTCGCGATTCCAAGTATATCGTAAAAATGACTATAAAATTCGAATTTTTTATTACAAATACAATTCTCTTGACCCTTGACCCCCACAGTTTTATCAATGATCTCCGTTCCATTCCAACGAAACAGCAATAATTATCTTACTTCAAAAACAATGGTTATATAGTGAAATAGCGAATTTTTCGCGCAATTGTCCTTCTACTATCTCACCGACATTTCTGCACTTTCCTCCTCAACACACCCACCGATCTAACCTAATAACTGTTCGCCCCCTACTGGAAAAAAACCGCTGTACCACTCTCCCACAACAGACACGCAAATGACACATGATAAATTGATTCGACCTAACTTTCTTTTCCGTTTCCTTTGTCCTCTCTCATTTTTATACAATCTATATTCTACAGTCTAATCTCCTCTCCACAATAAGCATTGCACTATTTCGTTTCTCCTCCAATTTTTCTCGAGATTTATAACTTATGAATACAACAGTAATGCCCGCCCATTTTCGAATAATCCCCGCCTCCATATTGTTATAATTGTAATTATTATAACAAAAATTTTTCTTGTTAATGCATAGAATTGTCGAGCAAAAATTTCTCGAAATTGTATTTATTATTAATAATGACTATTTTAACTATTAGTGATGGTACTTATCACCACTGATAACAACAATATGGGACAAGGCAGCAGAGCCGAGAAGTCAGTGGAAGGTGGGCGAGAAAAAGCGAGTCAGATTATCGCTTTAAGAATTAATTTCCATTAATTTTTTATTTTCGACAGAAATAAATTATCAAAAAATCACAGATGTTACTCGTAATCTATGCTTCTATCACCAATGATTCCTTAGCAAAAATATTAACAGCGAATTTAACGAGAAATGATAAGCGCTAACCACATGGATTTGTCGAAGCAGACGAAATGTTTGTCGGGCAGTCCATGACAAACCATCTGGATTATTGAAACATCGATTTAGGCCTGTTAACTGACAACATCTTCCTCAAACCCAATTATCTTCCTTAAGGTGTGGGATTAAGCAGAATTATCATCACAGTTTCTCAGGGAATCTCTAAGAGTGTGTGTCGAAGAGAAATTGGACAGCATACGGCAAGATAATATTCCGCCTCTATATAGCTGCAGTTCGCCCAGCCTTGCTATATGGCTGCGAGGCCAATGAGAGTGGAGGACATTAAGAAGCTACCTCCATTTGGCTCATTAAGATTTTACGGCGTCCATCGAGTTGATAAAATCTCACATGATTGCATCCACATTCGCTTAAATATCACCTGCATTATCATCAAAGAGCATCGTCTTCGCTGGTTAGGATACATTCTCCCACCACAGGAATTGACACATATTTCGCCATTTGCTAAATCCTGTGGCGTCAAAAGCTGATAAAAATGCTTTCGAATTTGCTGAGGAAAATAAGGAAAAGATTCATAAAGTTTTTAAGGATTTTCATGCAAAATTTTATACCCTTGGCGCGTAAAATGCTTTAAACATGAATGGTCAAAGGAAGATTACTTCTTAATATCCTTCGCTCTCATCGGCCATGTCTTACAGCCATATAGCAACAGGGACCAATGACTGATATAGTCAATCTGGACCAGCGATATATGGATTTGAACGGTTGAAAAGGAATGGCTTCTACTACTGGCATCAGATCGTAGACATTACTCTTGCAGCCAGTAATAATGAGAGCTGCTAGAAGAGAAGAAGGAGATTTAGGAGGGAGGATTTTTCGCAATATATGCCATATTTTGTAGAAAACAATTTTTTTCCCCGAACAAACATAAATCGAATACCGAAAAAAATCAGACAAACGCAACTGCTTGCCTAATCACTTATGAATATTTCTTCATAGGACAAAAGGTCAAAGGCCAAAGAGACAGGAAAAGAGGAGAAAGAAGAGAGGAAAAGAGGAAAGGAAGAGAGGAAAGAGTTCGACCAGATGGAGGAAATTCAAATATACAATAAATGCTCAAATATTTCAAAATCATTATATGATAATGCACAATTCGAACCGAATAATATTGATATTGATTAATAAATATTCCCACGACTGTCGCATCCAAAGTTCCAAAGGAACTCCAAACCTTCAACAGATTTCGGCCAGATGGGATCCGCAAGCCTTCGTCAGAATTATTCTTTAAAACCGTCGGATGAATGCTAAAAGAAATTTTACAAATGGCGAATTTTACCAGTAACGAGCGCCATATTGAATCCGAAGAGTCGAAGCTAGACCACTTTGTAAATTTGCTGGTCTGTTTCGGTATTGGTCGGCTAAGCTGTTTTTTCATATAAGGGAGGGGGTTTCGGTGGTTGCCATATGGGATCTTTTAGCGGGTAGCAGTGGTTTAGTCCGAGATAATTATTTTTTCTAAATATCTCTTATCAGTTTGTTTGTTAACGAGTTTGGCGACACTATAAATTGACGCAAAGTCCACCGACTTTTTTTTTGCTTTTTTTTAAAGCAGTCCTTAGCATTACTGGTTGAACTCGCTCCACTGGTTTGTTTCATTGGGCAATATACCAGGGAGTCCTTTGGCGATAGAAATACAGGTGAGTCAGCCAGTATCACCCGGATTTTCATATAGTTTTACTTCTGCGGGGAATTGAACTTCAGCATCGGCGCTCCCAATCAAGAAACAACCCACTGAGCCATTCTATCCTACCTATCGAATTGTGCGATTTGTGAGTTATGAATTCGATTACAAATGAACGAATGTTTTGCATAAAAGAAATTTATAAAAGAAATTTTTCATATAGAAATGGGCGAAACGGAAAATTTGTCACCGCTGATGTTTCGTCGCATGCAAGATCGCAAGGATTGGGATGCATATTGGAAAGTTTGTTTCTTTTTTTCTTTTTTTCCATTTTTTTAAATTTGGTTTTAATTAAAATATTTAATAATAAATTTTATAGAAATATTCTATTTTTATTTTAATTTTAATATTTTTATTTCTTAATGATTTTATTTTCCGTGTTTTTTCTCTTTCTTTTTATCTTTTTTCATTTTTGAAGTCGCTTTTTGAAAACTTTTATATTTTTATTTTTCGGTTTAAATTTTTTTTATTAGTTTTTTCCTATGAAAAAACTAATTTTTTGCTATGTTTTATTATTTTTATATTTATTTTTATGTATTTCTCATATCAAAAAAATTTTTTTGATGATTTTAAATGGTTAGTTTAGTTATTTCAAGCTTGGCAAATATTTCGTTTTTTCAATATTTTTAGGTTCGTTGGCTTGATAGTGAAGGAACATTTTATCCAAGAGCGTGTTATTATTTTGCGCGAATGTTTGACATACCAGTGACTTGGTTCAGAGGTAATTAAATTTTATTCTTCTCTTCCTTAATTGTTGGATTTTGTTTATTCTTTTACTCGAAAAAGTTGTTTTCATAATGGAAAACTTTATTGTCTTGTAAACATACATATTTATTATTTATAATAACTTTGCTAAGGATTAATAAGATATTTTCGAAGGTTAGATTAGTGCAGAATTTTACGAAGCATTTCATTTATCAAAGAAAATATCTTTTCTGTTAAATATTTTTGATTTTTTCTTTAAAAAGCTATAAAACTGTCGTGTATAATTTTTTAGAGAATGTTGTTGAACCAATACGTGATCGTAATCGTGTACCATATTATCATAGAAAGATGACTCGCGCACCTGAAATCGATCAGTGCGCTGTTAATGATTTAGGTTGTATATATGAAGCAAATCAACAATTTCGGCTGGATAGGTAAGTTTCTAAAATATTAGAAATATGAAGAAATTTTTTAATGTTTATTTAAAAATTAAATTTATCTTTCGTATTTGTGCTAATTTTCTTGCTTAATTGCATTTCTAAAATTTTTTTATTTATTTTTGCTATTTATTTTTTGAAAATAATGGTTTATAGAATGGTTGACGGCTTTATTCTAAAAATTCTTTATAAACGAGTTTCGAGATGTTTGGGATATTCGAAAAAGTTTTGGCATAGATGCGCAGATGTAAGTATTGGATTTTACTTTCATTTAAACAAAGATCGATTGATTTGGAAAAGAAAATGAATTTGAAGCTTTATCCAGTCTTATTCATTTACCATTTATTACCGCTTTTTGTTCCAAAAAACATATTACACAAAGTATTTTGATTTTGTTTCATGCTTTTTTTATTTTATCACAGATGTTTCTTTAGGTTATAAATGATTTTGAAGAAAGTGAATTGAACTATTTCATAAAATATGGGGAGTTAGGTTCAGAAGCTGACGTCAGAGATGCCTATATGAAGCAAAAACATCGATTAATATGGGAAAGACGTCACCCGGAAATTATGAATGAACGTGAAGCAGTTCTTCAGGTCGTTATTTTTATTATTAATCCATTAATTTTATATTTTCTTCTAGTTCTTATTGTCCTTATTCTCATTTTTTTCAGAAACATAAAGAAGACATGGCAAATGGCAAGTTTGATATGTCAGTTTGGAAAAAAGGCCTTTACTACCAAGACAAAAGACGTTATGAACCACCATATGACTTAGAAGTAAGCAAGGCAACAATTGAGGATGACAAGCCACTTTCGAAAGATTGGCAGTATTACAAAAAAGTTAAAGAAGACCCGGAATTCGACAAGGAACAGGGAAAAACAAGCACTCCTCGCATATTTTGATCAGTAATCATCATATCATATCAGTGAACGATGATTATAAAAATTTTATACGAAGGCAACTGCCATGTAAGTGATTGCTTTCGTTATGCTGATTAGCATTAATAGTCAATAGGTGATTTATGTAAATAGTTCCTATAAAAAGAAAATGTATTTGCAGAAATCCAGTTTTTTTTATTTCTTTTGACGAATATCTTCACATGGATATTCTATATTGACGCTAATAAAACTAGAATAAAACTTTTTAGGTAGGTCTATAATAAATTGTTTGTTATACATATTTTTTGCTGTTTAATAATTTACAAAAACTTAAGTCTTTAGACAGATTTTTATGCGTTATCATATATAAAAACAAATAATTGCATTCACATATATTGGTTATATTCCACTTACCAGTAATTTCCCGTATTACAAAAAATTGTTAATAAGGGAAATAGAAATAAAATGAGAGCATAATAAAAATTTCAAACAAAATGGCTCTAACAACAATTGTAGTGAAAAAAATTGAAAAAAAATGTTCAAAATCGTATTTGATAGTATTATTAATTTCTTCCTATTAAATCGCTAAAAATGAATTAAAGAAATTGAAATATCAATAAAATTACAAGGAATCAACAATTGAAAAAAAAAACAAGCCACAATATGAAATAATTTTGACGAATTAAGTATACATGCATTTATCACTTTATTTTTTTGCATTCGACGACTTTTTACTTTTTTATTTACATTTTTTTTAGAAATGCCAAAAGATTTCCCGGAAAATGAAATTCTTAAAATTTTTATACACATTGTATTAATTTCCAAGGAAAAAAAACAAAAAATTTTGATTAATGCAATATTAATAAATTTTTAAAAGGCAGAAAAAAAACAAGAAAAATAAAAGAATTCAACAATAAATAGCGAAAATTTTCCCGTTTTTTCCGAAATAAATTAACCGTTGATTTTTTCATAATTTTTAAAATTTTTTTTATTCGACTGCATTTTGAGTTTTGGAATGTTTTCGTGGCGGTGATACAGAATAGCGAATCTACAAGAAAAATTTCAATCTTTCGATTATTCTATGTAAGAAAATGAATAAAAAAAAAATGAAAAATGAAATAATATATAGCTAATAATAATAATATATAGCTAACCTTCATAACACTTTTTCGTTTAGTTCGTGATCCAGTAAGTTTAGTTTCACTTGAACGATTACGTGAAGCGCTTTCATTTTCTGCAGTATTATTGAAACGAAAATGATCGATACGTGAAACAAGATCCGGGAAACATTTACGCATAATTTCGATCCACGCATTTTGCAATGTCGCACTGCTAATGAACAATAATTTAAGCAAAAACATTTCTTGAAAAAAAAAGAGATCAAAAAGATCAATGAAACATTTTTAAATAAATTTAAATATAAATTATAGAATAAATATAAATAAATAAATATAAATTTAAATATAAGAAAATAAATATAAATTTTAGATGTTGCGCATATTTATTACATAATTATTATATTTATTATTATATTTATTTAAATTTAAATAAATTTAAATATAAATCATATAAAAAAATAAATATGAAAAAGTAAAATTTAAATATAATTATAAATAAATAAATATATAAATTTAAATAAATTGCAAATTTTTTCATTGAATATTAAATTTTCTTGAGAAATTATGGAAAATTATCCGAAACGCAAGCATTCCGGATTAATGGAAATTAGCGAAAATTCTCTAACTGAAAACCATCTTGGAATTGTTTTCAATTTAATAATTTATAAAAATTTAAAAACTTAATTAAAACAAAAAATCAAAATGGCATAATTTTCTATTTATCATACTTATTATCGATAGGTTTTGCGCCAACATGAGGATGTTTAATGGCCATATGAGTTCGTACATGTGCTGCTTCGCTGCTCGTATATGTGCATTCGGAACATTGATATTGCTTCAGGTGATAATGACGTCTGGCGTGGTTCATTAGCGATGATAATGATCGATTATCTGACATCTCTTTTCGACATAACTTAAACGAATTTGAAAATGATTTATACCGAAAAAATTTTTAAATTAATTAATGATCATTTAAAATAGTTGATGAATGATAAAAAGTTATAATAATTTACCTCGCAATTGATTTGTGTAATTCCACTAACATCACCAATTGAATGATCGTTAATTGTATGATCGTTATCTTTAGAAATTTGTGATAAAATTTGTTCGTCCATTGATGGAATATTTTGAAATTGTTTAAGCATAAGTATTTCCTCTTCATCCGCTACAAAATTAATCATTAAACATATGCACTTAATGAAAATATTTTGCATTCCATGATAATTATTATAGAACGATGAAAAATTCTCAGCAAATTTTAACTGATAAACCTTGGCTTATCAATAAAATCAATATAAAAAATTTATTTATATTTGAATTTATATTTATAGCATTAAAAGAAAGCAAAACTTTCAATGCGATATTATTAGCCAAATAATTTTAATAATTTTAATTGTAATAAGTTTAATTTTAATAATTATTAAATTATTTTAATAATTTTTTATCAAAATTATTCACTTAAATAAATAAATATTATAATGCGACTATAAGAATTTTTATTTATATTATTCAACAATTCAACAATAAACCAACCAGGAATCTTGGGAAAATATTTATGAAGGAACACTTGAAGATTACTTCCAGCGTTTAATTGCATGACATTCACTTCAGCAGCTTTCTCCGAATGTTTCAGTGTTATATGAAGGCGTATCTTCCACTGCAATTCACCTACTTAAACGATTTTACTAAAGTACCAAAAAACTATTAAATAATTTAATTAGTTTAGAAAGTCAATTTTTTATGTTTTTAAAAAAAATTGATTAAATTAATATATTTCCAAATTAAATTAAAAATACATATTTAATTCTCCATTTGCAGTGATTCTAATTTTCATTCGCTTCAGCAATCACTTAGTAGGAAAGAAAGCAATAAACTTTTAGTTCAATTTAGGAAATGAATAATTTTTATGAAAACTGGTTTTCACATTATTTCACATTACTAGCGAATCATTGTAGTAAGTGTGGAGAAGATGACTGATAACAATAATGAAAGCATTATCACTGACAATTTATCATTAAGTAAAATCGATTTAATACCATTTTTATTTAAAAATAAATCGATTAAATCGATTATACTTCAATCTGAGATAAATAATTTGCATGAAAATTTAAAAAAAGATTAAAAAAGAAAAAATAAAAAAGATAATTTTAATTTTGAACTTTAAAAAAACAACAAATTCTTAAAATCTTTTTATAGAAAAAACTTATAGAAATTTATTAAAGATCATCAAAGATCAGTGAAATTTTTTCGATAAATTCATTAATTCAAACAAAATTTAAAATAATAACAATTTAAAATAATAATAATAATTTAAAATAATAAAAATAATAAAAATAATTTAAAATAATAAAAATAATAATTCTAAACAAAAATTTTTAAACAAAAAAATCTGGTTTTATTAATAATCTAATGGAATAGAAAGGCAAGAAATTACGAAGAGTTATTCTAACAGACCTGGTCAGCATTTAAATATCCACACTCTTCGCAAGAATACGGTATACAATCATCTTTATGCATATTTTCGAGGTGATCTGCAAGCGACTCGAATTGAACATGCTCGCCACATTCAATACATGCATAATCGGGTATTTTATCGCTATTTTTTCCATGCTGTTGTTTAATTTCACTTTTAATTCCATCCGATTTCGATGAACTCCTTTCTGATCTTTCCATCTAAATTGGAAAGATTCTTAAATAATATAGAAAATACTTAGAAATATTTAATAATAATATATTTAAAAAGCCAAATTCCTTTCGCGAAAACCTTAGAATAGCCAGGAAAACATTGTTCCATTAATAATTCCCATTGGTTTTGCATTTCTGGCGTTAAAGCATCCAACGGTTGACTATGGTGATCCTTATGGTTATGTTGCATATGTAGCCTCACCTGTAATTCAACAATATTTCAAATTTTTAAAAATAGAATCTGCAAAATTTCTCCACCAAATCTCATTGTTGTTCTTATTAAAAAGCAGTTCTGAACCTATTCAAATTATAAAATTTTGTATTTTTAAAAAATTTCAAAATTTATTCAAATAATTTTTGAACCCAGTTCAATAACGTAAGTACCATAGTTCATCGACAAACTATAGATATTACTCTGTGATATGGCTATACAAATTTAAATTTCCGGAAAATTTCCGGAAAGAAAATTCCAAAAAATGCTAACTTTTGGCATTCTTTTACTATTATCCAGAATATAATGGATACTCTAATGGATAACCTATTCAACAGTGTAGTGTAAGTAGACTGGAGAAGGAAACGAAAACGAACTTTAGCCATCTCGTTATGCGTATATATACAGTAGACACACTGGAATTGCTTAAGTGATGCGTGACGGCGAACGTGATTTGTCAAATTCGATAATCTACTTGACATAATTTTATTTTGACATAGTTGACAGATGGCATAAAGCGTTGGATCGTTACTTGTTGTAGCTCGAGAACCTCGAGGTCGAGCAACAAACGGTATTGGCGACGGAATCGTTGTCGACGAATTTGTTGTTGTTGTGTTAATGAATGTCGGCGGCGTTGAACTTGATGCAGCTGGCGATGACCGCGATTCATCTTCATTTGATAAAATAACCGAATTTTCGATTGCCTCATTTGAATCGGAAATTCTTCGATTATCGTCGACAAAATCGCGCATGTTTATCGTTGAATTAATTACAGGTAAAAATGCATTTTCACGAATTTCGTTAACGAATGATACTTCCGGAAAGCCATTGCTCAACTGTAATTCAATTCGTTTTATTGCATTTAGATTAAAATTTAATAAAAATTATTGCTTTGTTAATCAATATTAATTATTATTTTATTAAAATTATAACATTATTATAATTATGAATAAATTATTGTAATTAATATTATTATAATTATAAATAAATAAATTATAAATTATTATAATTATATTATAATAATTATAATTATAATTATTTTGGTAAAAAATAATAATTTACCGAATAACTTTTCTTTTAAATATTTGAAGGATATTTAAAGAAAATTTATTTTTATTTAATTAAAAATTAATTAAAAAAGAGAAATTAATTTTAAGAATTTTAAGAAATAAAATGAAATAAAGTAAAAAACGGAATAAATTATTTTAATAAATTAAAATAATTAGAATAAATGCAATAAATTATTATTATTTAATTAGTTCTTTTTTTTTCTGCAAAAAATTCAAAAATAAATTTTTTGTAAATAAATGAACTAAACAATAAATAATTTGCAGAAAAAAACGAAAAAAGAGTTATAAAATTAATTAACTATTTTAATAATTTATTAACGATTTAATTCCTCACGAATTTTCCATAAAAATAGCAAAATTTTTATAATTTTTTTGAAATGTCAATATCAACGAAATTTGTGAAAGATTTATGATTTATTAAATAAATATTAAGCAAATAAAAAATAATTAATAATTAAAAAAGTGAGAATAATAAATATAATAGTAAAGTGAAACTCAATAATTATGATAATTAAGAATCGCAAAAAGCTAAAAATATTACAAATATTCAAAGAATCGCTAAAAAAAAAAATAAATATATAAAAATATGTTCTAAGGAAATGGAGTGTCACTTTAACTTCATCAATCATCACCGATTCGATTTTTATCATTTTACAAGATTGAAAAACGCAAGTAAAAGCAAAACCTGGTTAGCCTGGTTAAGCATTTTCACCCCTACGCTGACAAACGAATTTTAGTAATCATTAAATAATCAGTGGAGATAAACAAAAACCAAAAATGATGAATAAATATTGCTGTTTAGAGGAAGAAGAAAAAAAAAAGAAGGAAGGAAGCAGTTTTGTATGGTATTTGAAATAATTTGAAAAGATAATTTAACGAATTTTAAGAAAAGAAAATAAGTTTCAAGTTTTTATAATTAAAAATAAATAAATAAAGCAAAAAAAAATAAATAAAACTAATTTTAGTAAATATTAAAATATATTAAATAATATTTAATATTAAATAAATATTAAATAATATTTGCTAAAAAAATTATAAAATAATAAATTATTATTTTTTCGACAAAAAATCATTTTTAGAGGAAAAAATGAAAAATAAAAAAATTCGATTCATTGAAATGCTTATTTCTTTTAGATTTTTTTTTGAAAATATTTTTATTTTTTTTGAATTTGAAAATATTAAAAAACAAAAAAAAACCAATAAAGTGAATAATTTAATAATGTCGCCGCGTTCAGGTATTCGTACAATAGCAAAATTTGGCAAAATCGTAAATATGTCGTTGCAAATATTATTAGTGCTGGTAACCATCGCTTGCGGCGACGACGCTACTGGAATAGTCGTCGTTGTCGTCGACGTCGTCGTCGTCGTCGTTGTCGTTGCGATAGGTAAAACCGCGTTGAAATTCGCTAACGACGTATGACACGGCGACGACGTTAGAGTTGTCGTCTGAATCGACGTTGTAGTTAAAATTGTTGTCGTTGCCGTGCAAATCGGTTTCATCGCAATTGATTGCATATGTGCGTTTTATGAGAAGAATGCGTGTGCTGTGTCGTGCTAGTGTGTATACACATTTTATATATATATACATACATATATATATATATGCAAGGCACGATGAAATGGAAAACGCTGCTGTCGTTCGTTCGTTCGTTAGCGTTCTGCGTTGCTGTTAAATGATTACTTCTTGCTTGCCTGCTTGCTTGCCTGCTTGCTTGCCTACCCGCTTACTTGCCAGCGTGCTTGCTTGCCTACCCGCTTGCTTGCCTGCCTGCCTGCTTGCCTGCCTGCCTGCTTGCCAGCGTACTTGCTCTTTCCTACCCGCTTGCTTGCATACTTGCTTTGTTTTTTCCTACTTTAATTCCTTTATTATTATTATTGTTAGTTATTATTCATATTATTGTTATTATTAATATTATTTTCATTATTAAGTATTTTATATATTTATACATTTATTTATTTATATTTATATTTATTTATTTATATTTATACATATTTATATTTGGTGGAATGCGAACAACTTCTTGCATGCAACTTATTTTAGATTTTAGATTTTATATGTATTTCAAGCATTACGAGTTAGTACCATAGTAATTCGGCTAATATAATCTTTCTAATAAGTGTACCAAGGTTACTGTAATGCAACATATTTTAATAACGCAGATAAAAATGATATAAAAGGTTTAGTATTTTGCGTAATACTTTTAAAAATTTAGTATAAAAATTTTTATACCGATACAATTCCATCTATTATTATTTAATCGCTGAATCGTAATAATGATTTAGACCAATGGTAGTGACCCACCAGTAGTGACATACCAGTAGTGACACACCAATGGTGACTTACTAATGGTGACATACCAGTAGTGACACACCAATGGTGACATACCAGTGGTGACACACCAATGGTGATATCTTTTAAACGATGCAAAATCTTTTTATATTTTTCGAATTATTTTAATTGCTCATAACTTTTCTTTTCTTTATCATTCTTTTTTATTTTGTTTCACGTATTTTTTTAGGTTTTTTATAGAAAAAAAGATTTCTAGGAATTCTTTTTTTTAAATGTTTTTTCTAAATGTTTTATTTCACAAAAGGAGATAAGTATGGTTCGATGGGTTGGTTGTTCTCATTTCATCTCGCAGCATAGATTTCTATTTCTATTCCCGTTAGATGTCAAGTCAAGCAATTTTCCAAAAATTTAGAATGGTAGTGGTGAACCACGCATATATATTACTATTGTCAAATGGTCCTCTAGCACTGGTTCAATAAATCCACGGTGCAAGCCCTAAACAAAAATCGCGAATGCTCGAGAACGAAAATTTGCGAAGTGATTTTTTAAATACGTTGCAACATAATTCATATCATATCACATCATATCATATCATTATAGTATCATATCTTTCTTCGAAAAATTAAACATTTTTGACAAATTTCTTTTATTTTCTCTCATTAGTTTTCACTTTATGAAAAAATCCAATTTTTTTAATTTTAAGTTAATTTTTATCCAATATTCATTTTTTCCTCATTTTCGGATAGGATAGCCGAGTGACTCAAAATTAAGTGATAAGAGTTCGCAGTCTGTTCACGATAAGAATATCACTGAAAACCGAAGGTCCCGACACCTTCGGTATCTTCCATCCATATTTCCATCGTCAAATGACTTTTTGTGGTACAAACCGTTTAAAACGCAAGTGCTAGCCGAATAAAGGAATGATTGAAATGGTGGTACCAACAATTCTCATTTTATTTATTGAATAATTTTCATTAAAAAATTTTTAATTCCGTCGATTAAAAAATTTCTTATTTCCTTTTATCATTTTTTCTAATTTATTTTTCAATCCTTAATGTGTTTGACGCATATTTAATCAAATAAATTTATGAGTTCAATAAATGTGTTACAATCACAATATTATCTTTAATCAATCGTTATCAGTCATTAACAGTGATGTATCTAAGAAAAGTAAGAAAGATAATTTTTGAAACTTAAATATCTATTAATGAAAATTTAAATAAAATAAAAAATATTGCAAAAAAGGTGATAAGGCATTATAAAATTCAATACACTTTATTCGATACAACACTGCCTAAAGCATTCGAACAATTCTCTTTATTGTTACCGATTCTCTCCTTTATTTTGATTTAAAAAAATGATAAAAAAGTTGAACTCAGTTGTATTAATAAATTTCCGAATTTTTCCGGATGGAATTCACCGATGAAGAATTTTTCTCGGATTTCGGGAAAAAATCGGTAATATTGGATTCAAATATTAATTTTATTTGAATCGAATAAAAATTGGAATGCACAAAAATGAAAAACGAGAAACAAATATAATAAAATTTCAAAAGATTGATAATTGATGAATTGATAATTTAAATCGAATGTTTACGTCAAAAAGCGATTAAATTAAATTTGGATTTTTAAATTTTAATCTATTTAACTTTCATGGTTAATTAATTAATTTAATTTTTTTATTTCAAACTTGAAATTTTAAACTTATTATTTTAAACTTGAAATCTTTGGTAAGATGATTATTAGTTATCATTGTCATTATAAATTCCTGTTGATCTAGCTGCTGATTATCATGCAAGATTTTATGATAATATAGCGAATAATTCGATGGGGAAACATGAAATTAATTATGAACCTCAAACGTACATATATATCATATACAACTAGAAATACATATTTTAAACAAATAATACAATAATAATAATAATAATAATGTTGATAATAGGATTAGGGAGAAAAAATACAATTAAAGCGACATATTTTCCACAAATTCATATTAGCCAAATCCGTTAACCCTAATAAGCATCTACTTCAAATTGTTTGATTAATTCATTAGTCGTTTCAACAACACTCGTTTTATCAACGAGATTGGTGATAAGGCATGTTAAATAAATTTTTTTCACAATCTATTAACTTTGACTAAAAATATGAAAGAAAAAATGAAATAAAAAACAAATCATAAAATATTTGGTATAAAATAGGTAATTTATATGATAAGATATATACTGATTATCGGATACATTTAAGTACACCTACATGCAATACTTCAGAGAGAGAGAGAAAGAGAAAGAAGTGTACAAATAGATTAGCCTTCCTAGCTAGGGGAACCGTGGAGCGATATTATGTTAAGATTATAGAAAAATCTTTAGATATTACTCGCAATGATTTTTTTCCATTTTTCAAGGCACATTTTACCTTGTTTAAGGGAAGCGAATGAGGAAGGCACAAAAAAATCAACCAGCTTAGGAAAGAACGACGGCAACAGCCGAAGCACAAGATGCTGTACAATACGCCTGGTTGTAAATAGGTCTCCATTTCCACATCTTCCTTCCTCTTTTTTCTCTTTTCCTTTATCCCCTCACTTATTCATTTCTAATTCCTCAGACAATCCCTTCTTTTTATTATCTGAAAATTTAATCTCCATGATAATTTACTAATAATTCCTGTCTCTTAGTTTACTTATTATTATTCCAGGCTGTAACTAAGTCCGTTGCCGTCTTCGATAATCAAAAATATACTATGTGTTCACTAACATTTATTTATTAACCGGATGATTAGTTTTAACAGCAAAATAATTTCAAATTAATTAATTACAAAAAAAAGTAATTTAAAAAACAATTCTTTGAAAATATTCGAAATAGAATTAAAAATTTTGGTGATAAAAAGTTGAATAATTTTTCCACTAATTTTATAATGAATCTCGATTATACAGCTTTCTATAGGAATTTAATGAATCTACTTATCAGTGATTTATATCAATACAATGATTTATCAATGATAACTTACAAAAAAAATTGCCCCACAAAATTGTTACATTTGATTTTTTTTTTGAAAATTTCAATAAATTTTAATTTTACTAGCTTGAAATTCTGGAATATTAAATTAAGAAACTCATAGCAATAAAAAAATAGCTAACAATTTTCTTCAGTTATTTTATAAATTAAAATTACTGCAAAAATAAAAAAAATAATAATGAATGATAAATGTTTAAAAAAAAAGCTCGCAATGACAATTATTGCAAATAAATATATTATTTTTTCTTGGCTTAGGAATGGCGATCCAGGAATTATGCCAAACATGGGTTATCAATGAAATCAAATCACATTTCAGTACAATGGCCTAAAATTAAAGAAAAAAAAAGCAGTCAATATTATTATGCATAAACACAGATTATAATAAAACTACAATCAGTTAAAATAAAACTAATTAAAAACAAAACTACAACAAATTAAAATTTTAAAGCCTATTTGCAAATAAATATGCACAGTGAATTATTTATTATTAACTTTTGGATAATTTTTTAAAAAAAAACATTTTAATAATGCTTTTGTAACGATTATCGACAAATAGACAATAATAAATATTGAATTTCGGATTAAAAAAAAACAGATGGAATGAAAAAAAATAAAGAATAAATGAAGCAACTTAGCACCAATGGGAATGAAAAAAGTTTTTTAATTTTTTTGTAACACTTACAACGTTTTAAGACTATAATAAAGAAATACGAAAGTAATTCATTTATATTAAATCATTTTCATTTACGTCAATTTTCAATGAAAATTGCCCGCATCTGCAGCAATTACATTGGGCATCCTCTCCAAGTCATTTTGAGGTGATGGTGAAGGCATCATAACATCTAACCACTCCATGTTCTGCAATAATATTTGTCAACCTTATTCAACCTTATTTGAAAACGCTCTCGTAAATACTCAATTTGAGAAGATTTCAGAAGAACGACACCAAATAACAAACTTGATCAAAAAGATTAGTGCGATCAAAAACGTTCATAATCGAATCAGCTGACCGATCCAGTCGATCGCATATATTTCCAGAGTTTTCTCGCTCGCAATTCTAAGATTGATTAATCAAAAAATAGAAATAAAGTGAAAATTTTGTATATTTATGACAATTGCACAAATCTTTTGAAGAATAATCGAAAAAAATGATTTAAAAAAAATATAAAATGATTTTTTTTGGCGATAATTTTAACTAACTTCCTGTAAACATAAATTTTCATTACAAATTGACGCGTTGTGCGGTAGATCATCTGCATCGTACCAATTGTCTCCTAAGAGATTGTCCAATTCTTCTGAACTATACATATTTGTAATGCCAAATTCTATCGAATTGGATTGATTGTCAACTATTCCTGTTGCTATAACAAAAATTTAATAAAATTTATTATAAGATTATTATTATTCATTATTATAAATTTATTATAATTTATTATAAGCATTTCTAGAAAAATCTCACGGTTTTTACATTTGTTTTGCGCAAATAATAATAGTGTATAAAATTTTTGGTACCTTGATCATCACGAAGAACATCCATGAGATCATCGAACGCTTGATTTCTCGAATAATGGTATGGCTCAGCAGCAACAGCGCCTTCCTCCAAAACTTCTATTCTTTCTTCATATTTGTCTTCTACGACTTCTGATTCCATTGTTTGATCAGTAATAGTGCCAATAAGAGTCAATGAATTCGACTGAAATAAGGTTGTTTTGCTAATTGAGAAATTAGACAAAAAATCAAAATAAAAATAAAAAAAATTGACAAAATAAATTGCTAATAAAAAAAAGAATAGAATGATAAGAAAGAATATATTGAAAAAATGATAAGAGAGAAGAATTTCAACATATTAATTTCTAACAAAAGCTGCACATTATGTTTTAAACGCTATTTTAAAGAACCATAAACTTCACAATGTTTCGCCAATTTCAAATTTTATAACGTTTTTTTCTTCTATAAAATACACATCCACTTTGAGGATTGATCAATTTTTTCTTAATGAATAAGAAAGAATGAATCCCTTTCGTTAGAAAAAATACTGGACATGCATGGTATTCATCCGAAACAATGTAAAATTCATTAGAAAAAAATAGGCCTAGCGGGTATTAAAAAAAATTAAGGAAATAATATCTTATAGAGATATACATTGCAAGACTCCATAATGTGTTCACATTCCAAATTAGAACTCTCCATTACTTCCATGCATGGAACATCGTCGTTCAAGCGCTCATAGGGTTTTGCATTTGGCAAATGTTTAAACTGATTAACATCTGGAATATTATTATTATTGTTATATGAGCAAGACGTTTCACAGACAGATCCATCGTCAGATTTATCGATTTTATCCTTATCATTCGCCGATAATGCTTTGGATGCATTTTCCAGGACTTTCTTAAAAATTTCCTCCATATCCACAAATGTGCCGGACTTCTCTTTCACGTCATTAATCTCATTTTTTTGATTTGATGATCTGAAAAACGACAAATCAGTCATAAATAAGTGCATGCGGATTATCCATAAATCCACAAATATTTGCAGACCATCATAATCAACAAAAAACGTATTTTTTTTGATTTCAAAGAAAAATTGATTTATAAAAAAATGGAAAAAATGGAAAATGAAAAAAATGGAAATGAATTTAAAATCCAACCGTGAAAAGTTCCGTTTCTTAGCTTTCACTTTTACTTGAACATTTCCATGAGTTGCATTTGCTTCTTCGTTCGCCAAAACAATATTGGTATTCTGCTGCGTCGAACAATCATCAACAGTTGGTTGATTTTCAAGACATTGTTCACCCATGCAGACATCTTGAGTTTCCATAGCACGAGATCCTTCCTCAACAATACACTGAGATTCAGCTTCTTCACTAGACTGAGTTGCAGCAGCAACAGCCTAAGAATACTTCTTGTATAAAAGAAATGATAATAAATAAAAAACAATTGGAGCAATTAAAATAAAAAAACCTGGCTTCGCTCCAATTGATAACGGCGTAATAGCTGAACGATAAGAAGTGCAGTTCGAGCATCTTGCTTAATTAGTCGAACAATATCTTGTACAGCTTGTTCAACATGCAATTCTTCTTGTAGCTTTTGTTCAATCGAAGTTAAATTTTGCTGTTCAATCATTTGCGCCTTAATGTTTGACAAATAAATATTGACAAATAAATAAATAAATTAATTATACTAATTAGTAGGTTTCTCCATAAATACAGTCTTCATAGTTCATTTTAAGAATTAAAGAAAAACTTGCAATGATTTTTTCTATCAATTAATTAATTAATAACCTGCATTTGTTGTTGCTGAAATTTATGTTGAAGAAATAGTTGAATATGAAATTTATTGAGATGCTTGATATCTAACTGATTTAACCAAACTTCTGCTTCTGACTGTTGCTGATTTTCATCTTGTTGAGCACCCTCTAGCCTTTTAGCCTGCTGAAATAGGCAAGAAAAATATTTAGTAAGAAACCAAAAATCAACGAAACATTTAAAGGAAAAACATTTCAAGGATTTAAAATTAATTAATTAAAATTATTTAAAATTAATAAACTTTTTTAGAATTTTCTTCGAATTCACTTTTGTAAAATGAAGGAAAAAATCAAGAAATTTGACGAAAATATAACCTGTGCTTTTTTCGCAGCAAGTATGACCTGCTGTTGATGCTTGAGTTGCTGTTGAGAACGGTGTAGTTCTTTCTGCAATTCATCGATCTTTCTCTGCTGATATCTTAGCATTTCTTCATGAATTGATAAAGTAGTTGCTGATAATCTATAGCAAACAAAAGAAAATTAAATCGTCCAAATATAAATTTTTGCAAAATAAATAAATAAATAAAACTCACAATGCATTGGTATCATTCGGGTCGATCTGAATGTTATGAATATCTTGTGGTGGTGTAGTCTTGCCAGCAGCAGGGGATGGTGAAGGCACATTAGGAGAACAACCGCATGCTGGATCAGCCATTATCGGTGAGCAACCAGCAGACTGTTGAGCAGCTTGCATTGGCGGACAAAGAGCACGCTGAGCAGCTGATAATCCAGAATCCTTAAATTAAAAATTTTAGCACAAAAATATACCTAAAAATTCTTGCTAATTTATATTGATTTTTATCAACGTTTATCAATTGTAAGGAATAATGAGGGATCTATCAATAAATTTATCCTGAAACCATTCAAATTCCTGGGAAAAACTCAAAACAAAATGAAAGAAAAATTAAAATAAAAATCCAATAGACGCGATAACTGAGAAATATTATTTAACATATAAAAATATTAGTAGCAAAATAGAAAGTTTTTTCTAGGAATATTCAAGGATAGATCCAAAAAGGAGAGCTGATTGCCGCTAAAGTTACGATACAATGAACTGGGAAGAATTTTTCGAAATCAAGGAAAAAGAATTTAATATTTTCGCATATCAAGGATTTCTACAATTGTGACAGGCAAGAATTGCCCAAACTAAATTTTCTGAAAGTTCTTCTAGAAACTTTTGGACTGTATAAGAAGCGAACCTTTCCTCAAATAATAAAATCTTGAAGAAGGATCTGACTCATTGTCACCTGGAATTGGTAGGCAATATTATAGAACTAGAAAACTAAAGAAAATATTATAGTAGGTTCTACATAAATAAAGAAATAAAAATTTATCGGCTATTCTACTGTGATAATTCCTTGTCGATATTTATCCACAGTTTTAGGAGAGGTTAGTTTGAATTAAGGTATATCTGTTTGAAAATTCCAATAGCATCTGAATCTTAATTAAATAATACTAAGGGGTATAAGGGGTATCTTAATTAAATAATACGAGTAACCAGTGCCCTCTGGATTTTTGAAAGACTTACTCTGTATCGATGTAACAGCAATAATCCACTGAATCACCCTCTTTCCCCCTCTTCTCAATTACTTAATTACTTAATTAAAGATCTTAATCGCTATTGAATTTTCTTAAAACATTCGAAACATTAACTTATTTCAAACGGAATTTGTTATCACTAGCGACTTAACCTGATGCTGCTACCATTTTGGAACCATTCAATAAAAAAAATCGAAATATAATACGTATTGAGAGACTCAAAAATATTATTCGCTAAATTAGCTGGAATTCTCTAGTTTCTACTAAATGACTCTTATAAATTAAGCATTCATAATGATGTTTCATATTTACCTTTATTGAGCATTTACACCAAAAATTTAAAAAAATATTTAAAAAATATCAAAATTTCCAGAATTTCAAAAAAAATTAAAAAATTCCTACAATATATAATTAACCAAATCTCAGAACGTAATTAATTACGTTTACGTTTCTTAAATAATTTAACGAATATTTTATAAAAAATGATAAGATAAATAATACATAAAAATCTAAGAAAACTGGACGTTATTTTCAGGATGCTAAGAACAAATTTTCTACCACTAAGAATCAGATTATTGCAAAAATACCGGAAATAATGTGATAGCTAACAAACAATATAACTAAATGATTTATTCAAATGATTTTTATTTATATAATGAAAATATCGTTACAACCTGTCTATTGTGTCATGTCATGGAACTGTCTTATTATGCACACGGGTTTAGCTCAATGATAAAAATTATTAGAAGAATCATATCGACCTTATGTAAAAGATCTGATAATATCCCCTCGAATTTTCTCTTCTTCTTTATCACTATATATTTAAGGAATCTTTTGAATTCTGGCATCAATCCTAAGATCTCTCTTGCTTTGTTAAGTGGTGATAAATATAATTATTATCAATAATATATAAAACTATCTCCATGCCTATAGGTTAATTCTGAAATTTTAACATGGTTTTTTTAAAAAAAGATGCATTACATTTCAATTTCCAGCTAATTTCCAGCCTCAAAAAACGCTGACAATTATTCACGACCTCACTATAACCGTCTGATTCTTCTAATAGCTTTTATTATCCCCAACTCCGCAATTACCAGGAACAATTACAATAAAACCCTTTCGGAGAAGAATATTAAAAAAACTGACTTTGCCCTTGGCTTTGTCAGAAAATCCTAAGAGTTGGAAAAATTAAGCAAGATCCGATGATCCGATTTTATGGTTATATTAATTTGAATTATGATAATTTATTACGACCTTTATTAGAATTTCAACCTCTCAGAATAATTTTTTTTTGCTTTTTGACTTTTAATTTCAATTTTTTTCTTTCTAAAATCAGCATATAGCATTCAGCCATTTTTCTCGAGATTTTCAAAAAAGTAATAATACTATAACAATAATGAATATCAGTTTTTTATAAATAAAATAAAAATTTTGATTAACCAACTTGTTGATTGATTTGATTTTGAGAAGAATCAGTCGTAACAATGAACTGATTATGTTGTCTAACAGTGCAAACGCCTGTCGTTCTTGCTACAACTGGCAAAATTTGTTGTTGTATAGCTTGCGGCTGAGGTTGACTTGTGAGGATTGTTGAATTCATTGCTGACTGTGTTTCTGAGCAGGAAGCATGAGGCACTTGACAACCCGATTGTATAACTTGAGCAATAGTTGCTTGTGCTGGTATTGCTGTTTGTAAAATATGACCATTCTGAACCAAAGAAGTTTGAACAATTTGTGGTTGTTGCTCGACTACAGGTGTCGACTGTACAAGTGTAAACTGAAAAAAATTAAAATTCAAAATGAAATTCAAAAAAATATAAAGTAAAATATAAAACAAAAACAACTGCGAAAAAGGAGGAAATATCAATCATAAATATAAAAAATGCGGTGATGAATGTAGAAAGATGAAATAATACCTGACCACCAGATCCAAGCTGGGTAAAACTAAACGTTGGTTCACATTGTGTCTGATGCAATTGTTGAGCATTATCTCTAAGCTGTAAGTTTGCTCCTTGCATATTATCTCCTGATCTTAGCTGTTGTTCGGATTTTGCACTTCCACTAGAAGTACTAATAACAACATTTGCTTGTGGCTGTGTACAATCCGATGACATACAACAACACTGAACAGTTGCAGGTACAGTTGCCATTGCAACAACTGATCCATTTGAATCCACCAACTGCAATTGTTCTTTTAGATTCAATTGAAAATTAAATAATTGAAAATAAAAAGCACTAAAAACAAGAAAAAATTTCGTTTTTAAAATTTTGAAAAATAAAACACCAGAATTCCTGAATCAAGGAAAGGCAAACTTGTAATATTTGTTGTCGCTGACGTTGCTGTTGGGAATGATTTGGCTGAAATTGGAAGAATACTTGTTGCTGCAGGTGATCGGAGGTTGACGATGAAGGTTGAGAAACAGTTTGCTGCAAATAATCGCTGATCACGTTGCTGATCGGAGGTAGACGATTATTAGAATTCGAATTCACATTCGAATCCGAAATCGGTGAAGACAATGAAGTTACATCAGAAAATTGCTGTTGAGTTTCTATGATATTTGTGGAGGCTAAAATCGCGTCCTCATACGGTTTCAGCCGCTCAAGTAATTGTGGTTTAGCACCTGAGACAGGTAATTGCCGCTTTTTACATTCAGTTTTGAGATCTTGTACACGATAATCTGATAATCGCGTCTTAGGTTTTTCAGTTTCTGGATATGAATAAGAAGTATTGTTAATTATCGACACAGACTCAGTTATTCCTGCGGAACACTGACAACATCGTTTAGCTGTTGATATTTTTTGTTCTTGCATTGAAGGCTTTGGCACGCTTTGTATATATTCCACTCTTCCTACTGCGTTTTGCACATTTGAAGAAATGCATGATGGTGTTGTCGACAGAATGGATTCATCTGACAGATTTGGAATTATTTCCTCCTAAAATCGTAAATGCATTTATGTTTTACAAAAAAGATTACTCGAAAATTTCCCGCATATAAAATAGAATATTTTACTTCATTATTTCTCTTTCAAATCGTTTTATTAAATCGCAATTAAAATTAAAAATGAAGATACTTGATGTTGATTAGATATCGTTCGTGATTCTTCCACTTCGCGTTGCCACTGTAAGAAAAGTTGTTGTTGTTGAAGAAGCAGATCATAACTGCTTTGTACTTCATGAGAACAATTCGCCTTAAACATCTGAATTAATCTGCGCTTGCATTTCGCATTTTTATAAATTAGCATTTAAAAGAATTTAATGAATCTGCTCACGTGGTTTTCTGAATTTTCTAACGCGCAAAATGAGCTATCGAAATTGGTGCATTCAATTGTTCGTTGTTCACATGCCTATAAAAAGTAAAATAAAAAAGAAATAACTAAATTAAATATTTATTTTTAACAAATAGTAATAATCTATTTTTTCAAATTCACGAATACTTTCCTATTTCAATATATATTTAATCGCAATAAATATAAATTTTAAAGTAAATTTTTTTTTAGAACTTAAAACTTTTCGAGATAAATATTTAATTACTAAAATTCAAAAAAAATTAAGAAACTATAAATTTCACCGATAAAAATATTTTTTCATTTTAAAATAAAAACAAATGCTTCATGTTTGTTTTTTTTTCGACTAAAAACGAGAGCTGAAAAATTTATAGAAGTTAATATATGCAATTCTCAATGATTATTCCTCATTCATATCGCGAATTTTACCTATATCGCCCAATTGACAAAATGTAGCTAATCCGATAATTTTCCCTTATTTCATTTTTTCTAATTAAAAGAGATAAAATTTGAAAAAAAAAGGAAAAACTTCAATTAGCAAGAAAAACGATTAGCTGAATTTAATCTATTAAATAATAAAATAAACTGAACTGAAAATCTTGCAAAAGTGCAAAAAGCGATCATTATCACCTCGTAATCAATTGCGGTTTCTTTACGTTCATGAACTTTAATTTTCGATTTAGATGAAGAGGGCGGTGAATGATCATCATACGGCGATCGACAATAAACTTTCTTACGAATTTTTGCTGATTTCGCTAAACAGACATGTGGTATTCGTGGTTGATGTGAGCAAATATTTACCGTTGATATAACTTCCATTTCTAAAATAAAAATAAAATCGACACAAAACAAAAAAAAAAACAAAATTAAATTTTTTTTAAATCAAAAAAATAAAATAAAATATGTAAAATGAAAATTTTTTTAAAAATTTATAAAAATAAAATTTTTATAAATTTTTTACCGCTATTTTTTGTATGATGTGATGATAATCCATCAACAATCGCTGAATTCTTATCTTGTTCAGTTGTTTTCGTGAAAAGTACGCGTCCTTCTTAAAATAAAAAATTAGTTGCAAAAAAAAACAAAATATTTAAAATACTTTTTATTTTAGCTTTAAAGATATTCTATCCTCTTTTTTCAAAAACTTAAACAACTTAAAACTTAAAAAATAATTCAAAAATAAAAAAGTTCCTAGGTATTTACTCTTATTTAAGAATTATTAAAACAATGAATTCAACATTTTTATTCTCAATGCGTTTTTTTCTTCTATTTTCAATTTTAAAAATCTTTGAGAAATTTAACTGAACTATGATATCTAAAAATTTTTGCAATCTAAAATATTTCTATTAAATTTGAATAAAATTTAAATTAACGAATTTATTAGAAGAAAAATGGTATAATTTGGCACAAATAACATCGTCAGCCTAGCATTAACATTTTTAGCCATTTTTAGCCAAAATTTTATTTTGATGTAAATTTTATTCGTATTATTATTAAATGCGCGAAACTATTGCTCTAGTTCCATCCTCTCCGACATAAATAACTGCAACTTCGCTCGCACTGGTTAATTTGAAAAAAAATTTCACAAAAATTCAATAATCAAAAAAATAATTGTACTGAAATATAAATATAAATATTTACTGAAATACTGAAATATAAATATTTAAAATAAATATTAAAAATATAACCGCGAATAGCTTGTTCTAATTCAGCATCAGCTTGTAAAATTTTCTTTCTTACTAATTCAAGTGGTCCAGGCCTATGTTGTAATTTTTTATTCAGATCGTCTTTTAGTTTACAACGTTTTAAAACTTCAGCTTTTTTAAGTATTAATGGATCTGTATTTGATGCTGCAATTATGGTAAAAATATTTATTCAATTTTATTCAATTATTCAATTTCAATTTTTTAAATTTTTATTTATTTTTCGATTTTTCAAATTCTTTTAAGATTCTTTTTCAAATTCATTAAAATATGACTGCAAATTTTTAAAAAAAATATTTAAAATTTATAAATTTAGAATTATTTAAAAAAACGAGAAAAAAGGAAAAAAAATAAAACCATAGATTTAAAAAATTCCTAGAATTAATAAATAATTAATAAATAAATTAATCATAAAAGCAATAAACCTGAAAGTAAAATATGTTGGGTGACCAGTTTTTGTTTCGATGGACGTTGTTCAATTTTTCGTTTAAGAGCGTCACGTTCTTTTAAATGTGATACTACTACTCGTGAAGGGATACTTTCGTTCCGTTCTGCTTTAAATAAATTCATATCACTTTCATAATAGCGACTGTATGATTTTTTTTTATAAACGAGAAATATGACTGCAATAACAATAATGTCAAAATTTTCCCATTATTCAAATATCCTTTCTAATCAGTGAACATTGATAACGCCACTACTGATAACTGAATCTATTTTTAGTTCGCCTTTTATTCATTCATAAAGCAAATTGCATATAACAATGATTACTTATGTGAAATTAAATACGAAAAAAAATAAAAATATTTTTAATAATAAAAGAATTTTCTAAAAAAATTCATAAAATAAATAAAATTTTATTCTAAAAGTTTCAAAAATTTAAAAAAACAGTAGAAAAAATCCAACAAATTATTATTAGCAATTGATTTAAACGTATTTTTCATTTAGAAATTTATTTGATATGTCTATCAAACTTTCTTAAAGGTGATAAAAACATTAAAAATGACAATATAAACTAAGTGAAGAATGTCTGGAATATAAAGTAGAAAAACAATAATGACAGCTGCCTGCTATTGCTGCAAACCATTCACATATCAACAGTTGTTTTATTATTTTAATTTTTCAAAATTTAATATTTTCTAACTTCATGATAAATATTATGCAAAAAAATAATAAAATCACCATTTAATATTATAAATTTAAAAAAATTACTTATTTGCATAAAAATATTTTGCAAAAAATATATATGCAAAATGTATGCAATGATTACTTATCGAAAAAATTCTCATCCAATTTTCCTAAAATTTTATCTAAATTTTATCTAAATTTAACATAATCCAGTTTCATAAATAAGTAAGGTGGAAATATATTTGAAAATTATGAATCAAAATTTGAAACAACTAGTCGATTTTCAAAATTTTTGAAATTTTTAAATTTTTAAAATTTTTATAATTCATCCATAATGACAATTGATCTCATGAAATTAATGCCAATAAACACCAAGCCACGTTTAAAATTTTGCAAAATTTAAAACTTTACATGCGAATTTTTTCTATATTTATTTCAATTTAAAAAAAAACTGGAAAAAAAAGATGCGAATTTGTTGCGAATAAAATTTTTGTTGATAGAACTTTTACAACAAATTTCTTCGTTCCATTTGAGATTTAAAAAAAGTTTTTGAAAAAATTCTGGAATTAAACTTATAATAAACAATTAATTAATAACCGCAGCAAAAAAACGCCTAGCCAAGAAACAAAATACGAAAACTCGGATAAAAAATTAAACAACAACTGATGCGGGCGAGAAAAATTCGAAAACCTTAAAACCCAAAAACTGATAAATTATTTTTTCAGAACTCTTCTCAGAAGTCTTTTCTTTAAAAAAAAAAACATTTTTTCTAAAGCATTTCTAAAATTTTTATCGGAAATACATTCGGCTCGAATTCACTCAATGATAATTTATTTATTTTGATATGTCTATGAAGAAGAGCTGATCTTTCAAATTATATGCACAGCGGAAGTTCTTAAAACTTTTCGGTTAATCGGACAGCAGCGAATATTATTTATTATTGATAAGAGAATATTATAATAATAGGAAGAGAGAGCAAATATACTAATAAGAGAAAAGGAAAAAAAAAGAAGAAATAAAAGAAGGAAGTAGAGCATATACATAATCTCTGGAAAATGTTTTTATATAAATGAAAATTACCCGATCTTTTTTCCCCAATAAGAATTCGAAATTATACCAAAAAACTAAATAAGTGAAAATCTAATGGAAAAAATAAAATAAAAAAATTGAATGAGATGATTAAGAATAATTTAATCCAACAAACTCAGAAAACAAAAACAAATGTGAATAAAAAACAAATAAAAATAAAGAAAAAGTAGGAAAAAAAGCTAAGAATTGTATTAAATTAAACAATAAATTTGATTTCGATTTCTAAATATTATTTCAAAAATAATAATAAATAATCTTCAATAAGAAATAATTCGAATTCCTAGGAAATTATTAATAAGCGATCAACGATCTATTAGAAGTGCCTTGAAGCCAATCGCACTATCCTATAAAACCGATATCATATCAGATCTCATCAATTTATCAATTTTTTTTGCTCTAAGATTATACGATTAATGAAAACGATAAGTTACATATATGCATGTATATTTTTAAATGTATATTTTCTCTATTCTATGTCTCCATGTAAACAAATAACAATCCATATAATTAAAAAAAAAACACCATTTTATACAATTCTTCTTTTTTTATCGGTTCGCTGGCCACTATTGTTGGCCTGGCATACTCCACCACAGCTACTAGGATAAA